GGATGAGGAGTTGCTTCTTATGGATGAGCAAAGAAAGTGATTTCTTGAGATGAAATCTACTCCTGGTGAAGATGCTGTGAACATTGTTGAAATGACAACAAAGGATTTAGAATATTACATAAACTTAGTTGATGAAGCAGTGGCAGGGTTTGAGAGGATTGACTCCAATTTGAAGGAAGTTCTACTGTGGGTAAAATGCTATCAAACAGCATCACATGCTACAGAGAAATCTTTCGTGAAAGGAAGAGTCAATCGATGCAGCAAACTTCATTGTTGTCTTATTTTAAGAAATTGCCACAGCCACCCCAACCTTCAGCAACCACCACCCTAATCAGTCAGCAGCCATCAACATCGAGGCAAGACCCTCCACCAGCAAAAAGATTATGGCTCGCTGAAGGCTCAGATGATGGTTAGCATTTTTTAGCAATAAAGTATTTTTTAATTAAGGTATGTACATTGTTTTTTTAGACATAATGCTATTGCACACTTAATAGACTACAGGATAGTGTAAACATAACTATTATATGCACTGGGAAACCAAAAAATTCGTGTGACTCGCTTTATTGCGATATTCGCTTTATTGCGGTAGTCTGGAACCAAACCCGCAATATCTCCGAGGTATGCCTGTACTGCCTAAATATATGTTTATGAAAAGGATTTCCATAATTATGTAGCTTGATGGTATGTTGCAGCTCATCAGGAATGTTTGCACCTTCTAATTCCAAACCAATAAATTACATAACTATGTTTGCACGTATTAGTGTATAAAGTTCCAGAAACACTTTTATTTAAAAATGGAGCTGTAAATGCATATAACAAAATAACATACATAATAAATGTAACAAAAATAAATAAAGAGAATGCGTCCATACAAAATAAGAACATAGTAATGCAAAACGCTTATTACAGAACACAGAAGTGTAAATGCCTGAATGAACACAAATAGAATCTTGCACAAAGTCTAAACCTTTAATTTTTCTTAATTTTTTTTTTTGTTTTTCACTTGCACCTGTGGAAAAATTCTGTTCCCAAGCATTAAACAAAGGAAGGAATTATAGTGATGGTTTGGTGCCCTTAGTTTTCAACACCTGACCCCATTTTCAATGGTTATTTTTGCCCTGCACCATTTCGACCCTTTCATATAGCTTCTGTGTAAACTAGTGTAGTTCAGGCCTCCACTGTTAGGCAGAGTGGAGCATACCGAGTAGTACAAGGTTATTCTATTTTCTTTTACGTTTTAAAGTGAATATATGAAACCATTATACAACATATTACTGGGTTCTTTACATCTCTACAAAAAAGTTTTTGCATTTTTATTAATTGGTCCATCTTGTAATGACTTCTGAAAGCCTGTACTATTTAAAAGTGTACAGAAAAGATTTTTAAATAAATGTCACATAGGATTATTGCTGAAATATTAAAGACCATTTCATAAAAGCTGCAAAACTGTATTTGTAACCTTAATACAGAGAGACCAATGCAAACGTAGGAAAATTCCAGTCTATTAGTTACATTTAACAGAAATAAGATTCCTTCAATATTACAGTGTTCTGGAAAAAGAGGGTTATTTACTTTTAGTTTATTATTTCCAAATGTTAAATTACTGGGAAAACTTCTAAGGAAAATAGGTTTATACAAGATATTTTAAATAGACTTGCTTTTCAGTGTTACAAGCAAAAAGTCTACATTAGCAGTCTTCTTCCAGAGTCCTTGTAAATGTGTGTGAGAGAGAGAGAGAGAGAGATTTACTAGAGTCTACAAGAAAATATACAGAAGCAATTTATTTGCTTGGGTGTGAGCCTACTGATTAACCAAGTTATGATTACTCTATCTCCAAGTCTCCTGAAGAAAATTTTACATCTCATGATCATTCCAAGACACAACCGTCTTTTTTGTAAACTTACGTTGCATTTGAATCGGTGACCAAATATAAGAACTCATTTGCCTTTTAAACGTCTCACATAGCTATATGTTTCCTATTTTCAACAAACATTTGGACAGAAATAAGGTTATTATTATTATTTTACTTTCATTAACATCAAAAAGACATTTTGAACAAGATCAGAAAGTGCCAAATAATCCTTTCAGAAAGTGGATTAAAACATTGCTGTGTTAAAACAGGTATGGTATTATCATTTTTTTTTTTTATTTTTTATGTACATGAAAATACTGTTTGCTCCTATCGATATGTTCACCTACTACTCCCAGCAAATTCTTAGTGCAAACATAATAGCTGAATGTTGTAAACCCCAAGACAACGTACGCAGCAACAAGGTTTATATAAATCACAGGACTGTTTGAAAATTTCAGTACACAAGAATGAATGTTTTGCGAAATCTGTCTTACCTTATATAGCAATGTATCATTTTACTCAAAGTTAATGTATCCTATATAAATCATCTCAGTCAGAATCAAATGCAACTGTTCAATAATTCTGTACAAACTTTAGTTGAAGAGGTCCATTTATAGAGCAGCTTACCAAAGGAGACTTGGGGTTTCAGTAACATAGGATGTTAGCCTGCTCACAGGTCCCTTTTAAAAGCATGGCTTTTAAAAAGAAATAACATATGTGATGGAAAAGACTGCTGACATAATAACTCTGTCTGCAAAGCACACAACCACAAAGGGCAAACCTGCCACAATCTGCTTTTTCTACATTGATATCTATACTTATCTGTATGGTTAGAAAAGGATTTGAGAGACAATCAAAATATCACAGTTAAAGAAAAATGATTTAACAAAACAACTGCTATTCTGACCAAGCCTTTCTTTTCCTTTTTTTTTTTTTAAATATAAAACCAATGTTATGATTTTATTTTTAGACATTCCAACAATAAAGGTATATATGTCAATGATGAATAACATCATTCACGTACAGTGGGATCTTCCTCCTCCCCATCTGGGTTGAACCTATTAAAATGTATGCTGAAATCAGGCTCAGGTTCAACATTGTCAAATTCAGTTGAAACGGAATTAGCAGCAGGTCTAAGAGCCCGAGCTTCTGGTTGACAGTTTGGTTGTATTTGAGGGCGGGTAGGGTGAGAAGCAGGACTGGACTTCTGTTTGGGTACAGCTGGTATGACAGGGCTAGTGAATCCCAAGTTGCTCAGGGCATCCAAGGTACCATCAGGGTCAATCATAGCATTAATCACTAAAATGGGGGGAGGAGGGGAAACAACAAAAAAAATTAGTGTTTTATGCTTTGAGAAAAATAGCTTTTCAATAGTCCTTGACACTCTTCAGCCATTTACCATATTTTCTTTCAAACCCCTAAAACATGCACCTTATTTTTGAACGGCAGAATAAAGAACAAAAGGTCTTTCCTTGAAAATACCACTAGAGTACAGTATTCTTGCAGGGAAAACACAGGAAGTTGCAGTACTGGTGGGGGAAAAAACTTGTGGCTGTTCTGTTAACCTCCTAATTAACTCCCTGCAGGATATAGCAGGTGCTGCTAGCTGAGGTGAACTGCCCGGCCCCTCCTCTTCAGCTAAGCTGGCTGGGGCAGCCAGCAGCAGGAGGGGCACCTGGCTCTCCTGGCTCAGGCAGAGTGGCCAAGCAGTTCTGCTTCAGCACAAATGGGGCTTCACCTGACCTTGCAGGTACTGTTGGGTGCTCACCCAGTTCAGCTTGAGAAGGGAAGTGCCAGGAAATTCAGATCAGCCAATGGTATCATGTTAGCTGAAGGCCTGACCCTACTGGAGATGAACCATTCTTCTAGTCCAGCTGGGTGGTCCCTCAGATGACTTGGCAGGCACTGCTGGCCTCCCACCTGGCTTGAGAGGAGCTTGGCAGTCCAGCTGCTACAGGACTGGGCCCTTTGTTCCCCAAATTTCCTCATTAAAATATTCACCCCAGTTTTCAGCAGCTAATTTTCAGGAGAAAAACATGTCATAGTTAAGGAACTTTGGTAATTTGTACAAACGTTGACTTTCTTTTTCTGGTTTAAAGAGTCTATAAATACTCCACTAGAATCGAATACTCAGCAGTGCTCTCTTTCAATTATGTTGAGGATACATGGGAATGACACAAAGGGTCTGTTCTAAATTACTGCTTTGATGCCAGATGATTGACAAAAGATGCTGGCCTTTTGGCTGCTGCAATCTCAGAAATCGGCAGATGGCACATTATTTAGTATATTAGTACAAGCCTTTATCTATGATAAACATTAATGCACCACAGAAATTATGCACATGATACAATGCCTCATGTGGCAGAGATGTTAGAAGAAGGGGACTGAGAAGAATTTAAGTCTTTCATCTCTTTTATATTTAATGGGCTTTAATTGACTATTCCCCATGTGTTACAAGTGGGAAAAACTGAAATATCTAATACAAATTCACCATGCAATTAGTAATTTGATAATGTTTATCATACCCTTTTTTGCTTTTTAGTCTACATTGATACATGATCTTATACAACCTACTGCTAGGATTTCTAATTACCTAAATCAGGGATTATCAACCTTTTTTGGTCAGTGTACCTCCCAGAGGCTGGTGGAAAAGTCCCCCAGCAGCTGGTCAATGAGCGGGTGGACAGCAAAACCAGATGTGTTGGTGGTGCGCTGCAGTGAAACTGGAAGCACTGGTGGTGCACGGCGCCGGAGAAAACAAAAGCGCCTATGGTACCGCAACCAGCACAAAGTGCTGGCAGCCTCGCCCCCTGCTTCTCCACACCGTTGCCATGTACCCCCTATTGATAACCCCTAACCTAAATAATTATTTTGGTTTAATCTTTAATTTGTAAGTACCACTGTTCATACACACACTATTCTCTTTTACCCTTTGAACCTCACGTTTCTAAGTCTTTTTGAGATAAACTGATCTAAGATAAACCCATCAATGTTTGCATACAGTGTTACAGGAACATGACATATTTAGTTTCTTATTCTCCCTCAAAATTATTTCAAAATTATTTTTTACAACTGAAACTGGTCAGTGAGCAAGTATCTTAATTTATTTCTCCATATGTAGCCCATTTTCCTCAAACGTTTTTTTTAAAACATATATTATCATTTTTTGAACACAAAAATACATTAAAAACTGGGCCAATCCTCTCAACTGAAATATAATCTAAAAATTAAAATACCATAGGTTCCCTTTAATGTGGGGAAATTCAGCTCATTAATAGTTTATACAATTACATTTTAACATTGTTGTTATAAGCGTGATATGTGTTGATGCATGCTTAGCCATTTCTATGTACCAATCATTTTAAATTAGTGTGTATGTGTGTGTGTATATATACACATAGCAGAACTAAATAAATGGATTTCTTTCTGATTTTCTTCTGTCCAAACTAATGAGGATGTGGGAAGCAGAACTATTTAGTATTTTGGCAGTTACATGAATTACCACAGAATGATTTATTAGTGTATTTACTGGAATTTAAGATGACCCTGAATTTAAGACAGCCCCCTCATAATTAGATTCTATACAAAGAGAATGTATACATTTGTTAAAATTTTCCAAGTATAGAATCTAGTTATTAGAGGGTTGTTTTTAATTCATCTTCCCTACTGCTGCAGGGGGACAGGCAGTCACAGTGCAGGTGGTATGGGGAGGTCAAGCAGCTTACCTCCTGCTTGTGCCTGCTCTCTGCCACTCTTCCCTCTGTTGCCTCTTCTGCCCCTTCCCCTCCCTTCCAGCCTTTGCTTCCTTCCCTTTGCCTCCTTATCTCTGCTCCATGCTGACAGGCTCCACCCCTGTTCTAGCCTGGGGCCTGGAACTGGCTGTGAACTGCTGCTACAGGCTGTACTGAGTGCTCCAGGCTTCAGTGCTCATGGTACATGCCAGCACAGAAGAAAGGGGGGGGCGGGGGTGGAGTGAGAGGGCAGGCAGGGGACCAGAGGCTGTGTGGGTGGAGAGATGTGGGGGAGAAGGCTATGGGGGGAGATGGCAGGGTTCAGGGTTTTTTTTTTTTGGGGGGGGGGGTTCTTAGCTGCTGTCTGCTCCCCCCACATTAAACAAGGAGAAAAACCTTGTTTTACAATCAAGTAAATACAATATTAGAAGTTTCTGTGCTAGATTTAGAATAGGTAAAATATATGAAAGGATATATACCTTGCAGTTGTTTCTCAACTCGTTTAAGCTCCTGTAAGATTGATGAAATTTCCTGTGGGAGAAGCAACCATTGAAATAGTCAGTGGTACTTTTCACAAAGAAAAAGTAAAATCATTCATTCAGTTCTGACTGGCCAGTTAGTTATATTAGCTACTTAAATGTGAATAGGGATCCAAACCTCTTTCCATTTCTTGTTCATACACCCACCACAATCCAACTTCACCATGAGTAGACAATCTCTTAACAATACCAGGATTTAAAAAAAAAAAAAAAAAATCACAGTTTTATCAAGATGGGGGGGCAATTTGTTGGTAAGCCATAGCAAGAAAGTTACAATATAAACCCAACAAAAGGACAAGAAGGCGACATGGCTCATGCCTGGTTTACTTGGGAATCAATCTGGCTTTGCTGGGAATCGAGAGTTTATAGTACAGGACAGGACAGAATCTTATTGGGACTGTCAGATTTATGTTATCACTATCTTTTACTGGAACTGAGCATCCAGCTAAATGGTCCTCATGCCCAGGTGATCTTATTCTATATTGCAGTGCATCACTCAGGGAAATTAGGTATCTGTGATTAGAGTCAAGAAATTGCATTCAGTCATAACGACTGAAACCAGTAAATGTATTAATACTTATACTACTGCTATGTTAACAAATGAAATAAAGTATTATCCATTTCTTGTGGAATGTCTACAATAGGATTGGCACGGGTGTATCTATACTCCTGCCTCAGGAAATCTTTTTGGCACATTAGACCTGAAAAATGAAGCAGTGGAATTTTAACTTTCATGGTGCTTGGAAAGCACACATTTTTTTAAAGCTGAGAACTCAAACAGACTGATTTTCAGAGTCCTTTTAAAAGGATTCTGTACTGATAAATTAAATTTATGGAGTCTTGTTGGTGGCCAAGATAGATTTGAACAGATAAACTTGGATCTGATAAATTGAGGTAATAACTTTGAGAAGTTTCCACATTTAAACCTGACATACACATCCCAAATAGCAGTCATAATTGCCTTCAGCCATCTTTTGAGAACATCTGAAATAGTAGTAGCAAATACTAGAATCCTACAATTTGGTGCTTGACATGGAACAATAAACTAATCATAAAGCTAAATAGGAACTTGAAGTTATAAAGACATATTACCAAACAGGAAAAAATCCTGAGAAGTCTTATCACTTTGTCACAAGAAACAAGCAAGTTATAAGCCACCAAATTAAAAACTCAAAAATTATGAAATTTCATTTAAAATCTCTACTCTCTCTGAGAATCTTTAAACAATTATACACAAATTACATTTATATATAAATTATATATAAATGTTCCTGAGAATACAAATCATCATGTTTCTTCTAACTAGACATTTACAAGTACTGAATTACTTACAAAGTTATAAAAAGTAAACTAAACCATTTGTTTTTAACATATAATCAGTGAATTTGATCTGCCTTTTAAAAATGTAGTATGCACTATAGAAATTATGGAACAAATAATAAATGTCTAGTGGTTTAAGAAAAGAACAAACAAAACAATATAAAAAACCCAAGGTGGATTTATATCACGTTGTAGTATCTAGTGGTCTAACAACAATGAAAGCTAAGAGCTAGTCAATTAGCAATGCAAACATAACATTTCATAACCTCATACAAATGTGCGTTGTTGTAAAGAGGGCTCTTCCTAAAATATTAATTCACCTACATTAAAATGCACATATGACATTTTCTCACAAACCCCATGCCCCCAGATAAAACACAAAGCTTGTTTTGAGAAGGGAGAATAAAGAGAATAATTTTTTTCTAGAGTCACGGCCAAAAACTGACCACATGGAGCAGCTAACTTGCAACCAGCCAGCTCATGGGCTGCTTTAGGCAAAAATTAGTATTTTAATCATTGGACAGATGCTACTGAACTGGCACCAGCTTTGGCTGCTTTGCCAAAAGCTACTACCAATTCAGCAGTGGCTGTGAGGGTTAAAACTAAACTCTGCCCCTGGTGATTGCTGGCCAGAAAAAAAAAAACAAGAAAAACCAAAGGCAGCCATTACAGGGTATCCATATGTCAATTCCTGTGCATATATCAGTTTCCCCACTTATGACATGTATCCCAATTTTGAAGGACTAATTTTGGGGGAAAAGGTATGTCTGGTAGCAAGTAAGTACAGTATTTCTTGAGAACCATTAAATTTGAGACATTAAATTTGTCTTTTGCAAGACCATGGAAAAATCCCAGCTAAAATCTTACCTTAAACCCAATCAGCTGCTTAAATTATATGATCTCTAAGTTATTCTGCTTAAAAGTATTTCAAAAAAGGCTGCCTGTTCCCCGGCACTGACCTTCCAGGGGAACAAATCTCTTTAATAAGATTTTAGACCATTTTTCATCCAGAAAGTAAAGCCAACCAAATATTTTAGTATGTATAATGACTAATTTTGTTGTTTTGTTCTTATGTACTATACTTAACATGAATAAACATGGCAGCTGACCTCAGCTTTTTTCCCATAAGGAATTCTAACATAGAGTGTTTTTCTGATCATTTTTCTCAACAGCCCTTTTTAACCAATTTAAGGGATACTTCCCCTACATTCTTAAAATTATTCCTTTGCTTTCTCCGCTAAAGACAGCATGCTCAGTCACTTCTGAATTGGAAACCAGATGCAAATGAGGCTTGTTCCCTCTCAAAAAGATAGTTCTTCATACCATGCTTGAAGTTTTCACAATAGGAATTTCACCTTCAGCTCGTAACTTGTTTTCAATTTCTTCCCAGTTTCGGTCTTTGTCCTTAAATAATATTCTACAAAGAAGAAGCACAACATTTATTTTTAAAATAGAAACAGTATTAAATGCACCATTTCCTTGAAGATCTAAAGACCTTGGATGTAAGGAAAACAGGTCCTGAAAAGGTAAGAGTTGAATTTTGTGTTTGAAGTGCAGGCAGCTGCTACAGTACTGTCACTAAGACAACATATGAAGTTTTTACTATATCACGGTTATTAACAGTAAAAAGGCAGCCACAAATCTAAAATATCTGCAGGTATTACTGAAAATATACCATAATAGGAGCCATACTTATTCTGCTGCATAGAACCATGTTTTTGGGGTTTTTTTAAAAATCCAATAGTTACAGGACACAAAGATCTTGCTGATATTTCACAACATTTGCAAATCAAAGTGAAAAAATGAATGCTAACAGGTAAAAGATGCATACATTTCATAACAGAAAAATGCAGCACTTCAACATGTAAAACCATGTTTGAACACTGAGGGCCATTTCGTTTTGCAGACTTCCAGTTTACTTAATAGATATTAATCTATACACCATTTATCTATCTATCTATCTATAGAGAGAGAGACAGAGAGATTCATACATTAATGCATTTGGAAATTCATTATGACATACTCTTTTTTGACAGTGGACTCTGGGTGTTTCTAATGACCTAGAACAGGGCAGTCTGACTTTTAATGAGTTAGACACAGGCTCCAGCAGGGTGAGTTACAGGTCTCCTGGGCCACCCACCACACAGATACCGCCTCTCTGGTGCAAGGTGCAGGCACCATCTCCATCACTGCACTGTGTACTCAGTCCCATGCCCCCACCACTGCACTGCATACCTGTGCAGGCCCTACCCTTTCCCACTGCCGCACGATATTCCTGTGCCCACTGCTGTACTGCATGCCCCTCTTCACTGCAGCCACTCGGCTCACTCTCAGCTTCCTGGGCCATTTTGTGCTGTGCTGGGGTGGAGGCAGGCATCAAAAGCTGGAGGAAGGAGCCAATGGGGTGAAACAACATCCAAGCAGGAGCCTGGGGGCCACAAATTAGCCCTTCACAGGCTGCATGTGGCCCTCAAGGCTGCCAGTTGGACAGCCCTGACCTAGAAACTTTGAAACAGAAACTACATATACATAATGTAGTAATATGAGAATAGGAGAGTCATCTGTACTGTGATAAACAGCTCACTTATATTAATTACTTTATAATACCCCAAAGTGTACTAGCAGCTTCATAGATGGTTTCTTGTTTTCCTGCTGTAATGAACAGATTATTATCACTTGCTGCGTCACAAGTGTCATTTCAGGTTTTCAAACTTCTGTATCATTAACAAACAGAAATCCACAGATATTTAGATTACTTTATTCTTAATTAATTAATAAAAAACATTATCACTGTTCACGAGAGAACATTCTCAAATTTGCCTTTCCTCTGAATGGTAAAATCAGGTATCAAGATCAAATGGAAATGCAGTTATAATCATTATCTCTTTTAGTAATATTCCAGAAGTACAAGCAACATCAGACAATAGCAATGTCTAAACGTGGCTAGGAAAACAAAATAATTACAGCATAATCAAATGCCACACATTTTTAAACAGTTACCAGTTGGGTGAGGTTTCTCATAGGAAATTGCTCTTTTCAAAGTGAAAACTGCTACAGTGGATAGGAATTTCACACCTTGTAAATGCTAGGAATTTATACAGAACCTAACTGAGCACTGTGCCTTAATTCCATTCATCTACAGCAGGTCTTTGGGATCAGCTTTCTTAGGCCCCTTTTGAACTGCCCAACTTCAATTACCATTCTGACAGAAGAATCTCATTCTTCAAAATACGTGCTCTGCTGTTATCAATACTTAAGTACTTTCAGGGAACCAAAAATTTGACCTAGTTGCTATCCTGATTTTGCTGTTGATCGCTCTGTACATTATTGCCCAAAAACAAACCATAATTTCCAGAGGTTTTTTTGGGCAAATGTTTCATTAAGAAGTACTGTTCCAGTTCGGTGCAATCAAGGAAAAATATTAATGCAGGAAGACAGGATCTACTGGACAAAACCAGAGAAAGAAAAAGAATCAAAAGAATTTATCTTTTCAAGACAACAGAATTAACCAGCACATTAGCAACAGTATAGCGAAGAAAAGAAAACACCCTTGCAAAGGAACCCACCTCTTTTGAGGTATGGATAACTGCTATACTTGCATCACTACAAAAGTTTTTGTTCCAGTAAAACGTATGAACATATAGGCATACAAGCAATCTGCAATGGCCCAAGCCCTACAGAAAAGTATTTGGTTTGAAACAGGAACTTCCCTGTAAGGCTATTCTTTTGTGGTGGAATGGAGGGGGAGAGGGAGAGGAGCTGGCTCCCTAATACCTCACAAAGTGGCAAGCTGTCAGGGAGCCCTGGTTGGACTCTGCTACCACCACCATGGTTGCCAGAGCACATCTTGCCTGTGCTCTGTCAATAGTATTGGTGCTGTGCAGAAACAGTCGCCCCTGCTTTCAGAGTCTAAGTCCCTGGCAGTGGCAGTGTCACAAAGGGAGCTCTTGTGTCCTCTGCAGAGCTGAAAGCTTGATTACTCTGAACCTTTAGGACTTACCTGGTGTTGACAAGCTCCAAAAGAAAGCAAATCCTGTATAACTGCCACTAAAGAGCAGCTCACCTTGGAGAAGTTTAGGAAACATTATATACAGAATCAGGCCTTTAGCCACACTTTTTCTATTTTCTAGTGGCATATTTTATCATTCCAGAAATCATTGTAAATACAGTTTATCTGGTGCTACAGAATTTATCTTCTTTTTCTTTATTCCTCACCCGAAGTCATAATTTTCTTTATTTATTACCAATCTTATTGGGTACTGTGGAAGCAATGGTAATGTAGAGATTTGTACATCATGTAGGGTATAAGCAGCCAGATCAGAGCAGCAAACTCCTGCTCCATGCAAAATTTCCTTATCATAGAAAAATCTGGGATATATAAACAAATAGATTCTAAAATATTCTATTTTTCAAAATTTCTTCCAGAAGCAATCAGCACTTTCAAAACAAATACAGAAATTTGTGAGACAGGTTTAAATATGACAATTCTGACTCTTTCCCCACTCCTCCCATTTTCTCATTTACCCCTCCTGCTATATACCAAAAATTTCCTTCCAGAAGGTCAGCTGATTCAGGTCTCTGCTGCTGGTTTCAGCCTGATCTCCACTTCCACAGACAATGCTGTTTGTTACTCTGTCTGTCCCACTTCCATCTATCGGCAGCTCTGCTCACCTTCCAATCTCTCCCTCTTCTTACAACAATTTTATTCAGTCTAATGTATTCTCCTTTGTTCAGCTTCTACCAGTGTTTTCCTCTTCTGTGTCATCTTTTCCCCCCAATTACTGCATATCCTCCTTTCACCTCCCATTATGACTGGTATATAATGAAGTATAGACTCTTCCAGCTTCACTAAATAGTGAAGTAGTACATTCTAGGCTTTAAGGAATCTGCATCTCCTAAATGCCTCACAGCTACCTTGGGTCAACAATAATTTATTCAAGGCCAAGTATATCTGCTGTCACAAGTACACATCCTTCCACTGGCAACTGATAACTATTCTAACTTTTATAAAACCAAAAATGCTAAAACTGAAATTACTAAAAAATTTCTAACTATGAAACTTCTGAGGCTGAAAAAAATTGGGATTATTTAGTCTGGAAAAAAGGAGACTGAGGGTGGATTTGATAACAGTCTTCAAACTGTGATGGTGATAGACAATTCTCTGTGGCTGCAGGGGACAAGACAATGTCTTAAACAGCACCAAGAGAAATTTGGGTTGGCTCTTGTTGGATATCATCATGGTGGTCCTTTAGCATTGGAACAGACTCTAGAGAGATTGCAGAATCTGTCTTTGGAAGTATTTAAGAGCAGGTTAGACAAACAATTGTCTAAGGTGGCTTAGACAGGGGTGATCCTGCCTTGAGCAAGGGTTTGAAGTCAATTACCTCCTGAGGTCCGTTCCAGCTCTACTTTATTGTAATGCTGACATTTCTGATTAACATTTGGATAAAAAACCCCAAATTTTGTTGTTGTTGTTTTTATGGAGGAAGTCTCCTTTTATGGAGCAAAGTCTCTTTTGCTGCTATTTCTTCTGACTTGATTCCTACCATGCCTCACTTATTTTCACTGGTGTCTTTCTTTCCATCTCTCACTTTGGGGGATGGGGAAATTTTCTCCAACACCTTAACTGACAAAATGAAGCTCTCTCCCTTACCTGCATCACACTATCCACTGTGTTCCAAGCATAGGAAACAGGAGGAACCTAGAAGTTAGCACTGACACAAAGCTACCTCCTACCTAGAATTTGTACATTTGTACTTTTAGAAGGCAAACTGTCCTGCTAAGATCACATTTCCACTGTACAGCACAGGCTTAATCTCACAGAATTCCACATTTCTCATAACCAAACAAAACTTTCCAAGCTTCCCTTGTCCGTTCTTAACTGCTAAATGCTTCTGTAAATTCTTCTGATGACAGAGAAAAGATGCCTTTGCAATTTTTAAAAATAGGAAAACAGGCATTTTGTAGGCTTTCCCCTAGCATGAGTGGCCACCATTATAATTAACTAATAAACAGCTGGGGAAAAATTCCAACAAAAATACTGCAAAGCAAGACAACTCAGTATATATTTTACCTTGTATGTGGATGTACAACTTTGGTAATTCAAATGTTATATTTTTCATCTAATATCTTCCATTTCTCCTTTTTGAAGGAATAGCTCTGGGTCAAAATTTTAAAAGGAATTCCAACTTGCCTCAGATACTGTATGAGTTTAATCAGGCAAGGCCAGTTTTTAGGTGTCAGTACAAAGGCTGAAAGGCTGTGCACTGAAGTCTTGCTGCTCCTTTTTGGAAGCCCTCTACTGGAATGCACCCAACTGCAAATGCATACTATTAGGATGAAAGTGACAGTACCCAAGGACAAAATTCTTTTAATATACATTCGACATAGGCAGCAGTATTCAGACACATATACAACTATATAAAAACAGTCCTGAACTGGTACAGATTATCAGGGGATTATACTGAACGCATCAGAGAGTAGCAGTATATTTTAAAGTGAGATTCCACTGATAATGGCTGATGGCACTGGGAACACTGGGACACAGAAAAAAATCTATAAAGGCTAAAAACACGAAGTAGAAAGTTTCAAAGAAAACAATTAATTAATAGAAAAGAAATGTGCAGAAATTCAATGAGGAGAGCAGCATGAGGGACCCTAAAGGAGAGGATTGAGCACCTGAATTGGATGCAAGAGAAATCCCATGTGGAATCAGAAGAACAAAGCAACCTGGTCAGCATAATAGGAAGCTAGTAGAACAATAAAACAACAGGCTTCTCTTGTTCGTATTTTTTTATCTACATTAGCTGAAGATGTGGAAGGGGAAAAATGGGAAAATTGTGGAAGGCCATGATTGCTCCAGGAGTGGCATTTGTCTCTTCTATGTGATGTGATTCACTCATCATAAGGGTGGATAAACCTGTTTTTCAGTTACAGAATTATGACAGAGATTAAATGCTTTGCTGGTTAATGAGAACAATATCCTACTAAATAATGTAATAATACAAACACTATATCTTGTTATTTAAAGTACTCATATAGGCCAAAAGACTTCTAAAAAGATTTTACTTGATTTTCCACTCAACCACACCACTCTTACAAGAGAAGAAAAGGAAAATAAAGCATATATTTTGGCTCATTTAAATTTCTACAATATTTTTACCATTCCAAATAGAATATTTAATTTCTCTGTCTGCCTTTGTCATTATAAAAAGTTTGTTTACTATTATCAACACAATGCCATCCTCAGATTTAATAATGCCTTTGTTGTGTCACATTGTGTGCTGAATGAATGAATGCAATTCAAATTTTGGTAATTAATCTCAGCCATTACCTGAGGCATTGTAGGCAAATTATATGCTGCTTTTCCCACATATTTTATCTGATAACTCGCACAAAATTTTGTATATAATGCACTGATATTTTGTTTCTATTCCATTCATTTTTAAATACTGATGGTTAATTATGAGTAAAAGTGAAGTGGGATATTCAAGTTCCACAATCCTAAAATTCTTTTGTCCCATACCAGCCAAAGTGAATACCATACTGTTGTACATACATGCAACAGTCAAGAGATTAAAGATGGCTCGTGTTCTTGAAGACCATCTCTCATTTTTGGGCGCCTAATTTGTTTTAGCTTCTATAATACATTTGGAAAAGATCCCTCTAAATACGTTACCTTACATTACCTGTCCAAAGGGGAGCCTTCAAGGGATTACATTGCAGGCCCCAGGCTCCTGCTTGGCTGCCACTATCCCTATTGATCTGGCTACAAAAGCAGCCAGGGGCTCCAGGCTCCCCCTTCTTCCTCCACTGCTTTGCCCCTCTTCTTGCTCTGCCCCATTTTTGTGCCTGTACAACATGTGGCACAAGGATCAGAGGATGAGTCTGAGACTACATGGGCAGGCACTGCATCAGCAGGGGCATCTATGTGGTGTGAAACCCAGGGACCTATGGCTCACCTGAGTGCAGCCAATGGGGTGTGCAGCTGTCTGGAAGTTGGATAGCCCTATCTTACTGTACAGAAAACAGCTCAAGAGAAAGAAAAACACCACAAAGGGTGAAGAGCAATTCTTACAAAGTGTAAAGTATAAAACATATTTGTAACTGCCACCAAAAATGCTTATAAATAAATATAAATAAAACAATTATCTGTATACGTGTAGGTCCAAGGAGTCCCAGTTATGGAACAGGATCCTATTGCACTAATGCTGCACAGATACAAAAATGAAAGACAATCCCTGCCTAAATGAGTTTATAGATGGATAGGTGCAAAGGAATACAAGAAAATAATGAGAATACATTGATCAGCACTATAGACTGCAGTCCCAGCACAACAGCAGCCCAACTATTATGAAGCTAAAAAACAGGAAAGATTTAGGGCTTATCTCCTTCACTGTAGGGGCTGATCCCAGCACCAAAATAGGGCCCGAGTACACTCCAATGACCCATGATCTTGAGTATGCTCCAAGCCTGGAAATTTGCCAATGATACTGCTCTATGCTCATGCTCAGCATCTTCCTTCATGCTGGAAACTAAGGATTCTAGAGCAAGTGGGATGAGCCTGAACAGCTAGTTTGGGTGGCCAGGCATGCTCGAGCTTCACCTGTTGTCAAAAGTCACCACTGCAGTCGTGTATACAAACCTTTAGTGGATCTAAAGATAGAGCTTAGTCAAAAATTACAGACAAGTTATGAGTTTCAGTGACTGGAAAAATATTTGTATCGCACAAGATTACTAAGAAAGGAAATAAGGGGCAGTTTGGAAAAAAGTTTAGGAGTTTTGCTTTGGCTATAGTGTCCTTCAGCTGATGACTAAATATCTACAAGGTGTTAGTCAGTGGGCAGGAGGATGGGAACTATCCTCTTAACATTCTGAAGGAGCAATAAGAAAGGCAGCAGGAAACAGTTCAGGCAATGGCTCAGTTACAAAAGCCTAGAGAGAAAAGGATTATGGTCGATGATGTTGAAAGTGGCTGATTGCTGGAGGAGGACAAAGCAGAATTATGGTTCTCTGTTTTGATCAAGAATTGGTCAGACTGTGGCAATGTAAACTAGACTGGAGAGGGTGCAAGACAACCTGGAAGAGGTGAATTCCAGACAGTAACTGTAGACAGTATGTTCAATGAGCCTCTCTCAACATGCTGCTGGTGGCCATCATGTTACTTAACATCTGACACTGGAAATAACAAGTTCCCCCTGTTGATCAGTTTCTAATTTACTTTGACAAAGCTTCAGTAATCAATTTTTTTTGACTGCTGCCTTAAAAAGGGGGAAAATGGTAGTAATACATTACTAACCCATGGTGACCATCTAGAAGGAAAAAAAGAGGACCAGTGCTAGACATAACCGTAAACACTTTTGTTAAAACTCTTATGTTACCATGTTGTCTCAGCTACTGTGTCCAAAGTTGATTCCTTTAAAATGAGAATTTATCTTTCCTGAAACAGGCAACCCCTCCACACAAAGTTGGGATCTAGATGTGGGGCTGGCTTGTGAAGGAGTGATATTTCAGGGTTTGTTTGTTTTTTAACAGCAGAGTTTTGTATATTCTAAACAAGAGCAGAGCATTGGCTTCTTTGTTGAAGATACCATTTCTTCCACGAAGGCTTTGTTTCAATTTCCTCTATCTTTGTTCAAATCATACAAAATATTTATATTAGCAGTAACTTCCTTCCTAGCATGGAATTCATTCACTTCAAAAGCACAAAGATTTACTGATGACTGGGAAGCTGCTTAATATTCGACTTTTAAATACTTAAGTATATTACCATTATAGTATCCATATATTTGCTCTCCTGTGCATTAAGTATTTCACTGCTACTAGCAGGAATTTGGAATCTAATGAGAAATTTTTTTTAGTGATAAAAAAGTGCATCCTACCTGATTTTGCCAGCTGTTTTGTCTATGGATTGTCTTATCTTCCGAGAAAACTGGAAGACTGATGATAACAGCAAGCTGTCTCCCATAACCTGAATTTTTTTTTTTTTTTAAATAAAGGAAAAAATATTTAATTCTCAAGAAGTTATTACACTTATGCAGACAATTCTGAATGTTTAAATAAAGATTTTGTTCTCCCCGCCCAAATGAATACTTAAAACATTTGAGTATACATTTATTATTCTCAAATATGAAAAGCTAGTTTCACTGGGATGTCCAGGTCATATTTTAAGGAAGTGCTAGGCAAGTGTTTTCCCATGGCTGTTCAAATACACTTGTTGCCTTACCTGAAATTCCCTTATTATAACTGCCTCTCAAGAAGCAACTGCCAACCACATTAGAAATGTGATGATTCAGTGACATTCATGCACGCACGCACGCGCGCGCGCGCGCACACACACACACACACACACACACACACACACAGAATTGAAACTGAAAACAAAGTAATTATCACTTGTATACTATATTAGATTTGAAATTCAGATCTACAAGTGAAATAATTTAGTTTCTTATGCAACTCAACAGCCCTCATTTTGTCTTGCATACAACAGTTCTCAGTCTTTTATCATACATTATGATGATGATGAAAAAATGGCTGAAAATTGGAAACGTATCTCAAGAAGTACCAAAGAACATTTATTGGTTTAGAAGCCTCAATCCTAAACCTGCTGGTAAACAAAAATGTTTACTGTGCAATTATTTCTGCTTATACTGAGACCTTACACAATTCCCTTAGTTACTGTAACCATTATACTATTTTAAACATACCTCAGTTCCCACCAGATATGCTTTTTCTCATTCTTCTTGGAACATCTTTTTTGTACTGAAATTCCAGACCTGTTCATAGTGTAATATGTGATCTCACAAGGCCAAAAGAACCATTACCTCAATGACCCATCACAGGGTTCCATTGTATAAAAAGTTCAAGCCAAGTCTTTTCTGGATTACTGTATGACATTGCAAGTCAGTACCCAATCTGCTGCCTGTTACTAGCCACTAGAACTTTTTGTCAGGTTAAATCATTTTCTAATGAAATGTGACCAAATCATTTCAACAGCTCTACATCTCCATGCTTTCTCCTGTTATTTCCTGATTTTCATAGGAACATAGGAAAGTGGGGCTGGAAGGGACCTTGTGAGGTTATCCAGTCCAGTCTTCTGTTGAAGGCAGGAGCATCCTTGACTAAACTATCCCAGCCAATGGTTTGTCAAGGGATGGAGATTCCAGTTTGCCTGGGTAGCCTGTTCCAATGCTTCACCAGCCTCACAAGTTGAAAGTTCCTCCTAATTTTCAACCTAAAGTTTCTTCTGCTGCAGACTGAGGCCATGGCTTGTAGGCGTGTTCCCTAAAGCCACAGAGAATAATCTATCTCCATCTTCTCTCTAATCACCCTTCATATATTTGAAGTCTGTTATCAAATCCCTCCTAAGTTTTCTCTTCTGCAAACTAAATTACCCTAGCTCTTTCAACCTGTTCTTGTAAGGCATACTTCTCAGCATTCTAATATTTTTTGCCACTCCACTGGACTCTGTCCAAACTATCCATAGTGTTTTTGAAGTATAGGGTCCAAAACTGGACCAGAAAACAGTTCACCAAGTGAGGCCTGACCAGTGCTGAACAGAGTGGAAGAATAATTTCCCTTGATTTGCAAGTGACATTTCAGTTAATACAACCCAGCATTCTGTTGGCTTGTTTTTCAACAAGAACATACTGCTAGGTCACATTCAGTGTATGGTCCACCATAAGTCCAAAGGCTCAGCAGTACCACAGCCTAGTCAGTTGTTTCCCAGCCTGTATTTGTGCATGCCATCATTCTGTCCCAAGTGCAGGACTTTGCACTTGTCCATGTTGAATTTCACCTGGTTGACTGCAGACCGTTTCTCCAGTCTACCCAGATCATTCTGGATTGCTGCGCTAACCTCCAGCGTTTGAAAGTCCACCCAACTTGCTGTCATCCACAACTTTGGCTAAGCATGCATTCAATCCCATCCTTCAAATCATTAATGTAGATGTTAAACAATACAGGTCCCAAAGCAGACCCCTAGGGAAACTCACTTGATATCTCTTCCCAGTTAAACATTGAGCCATTGATTATTGCTCATTTAAGCATGATGATCCAAGCAGTTATGTATCCACTTTACAGTACTTTTTTCTACTTCGTATTTCCTTAGTCAAATCATAATTCAGGATAACCTGCTTTTTTAACCATGTGCATCTAATAACACTGGTCCCAACACTAACTTCAGTGATGCCTCAATTAGGTCTCAATTTCTGATTTTACTACAATGTATTTGGCCTTCAATCCTTTGACAATGCTTACATCAAGGCCAATCTGTATTGCCTACATTTTTATTGAGGTTCAGATACTCTGCTTATTAATTTACATGATGAACACCAAAAACCTGAAGGAGTTTTACAGGACTATGCATTATTAAATGCATTATCAAATGTACTTGAAGAAAAAGAAATGTCTTAAGCATTTTTTTAAGATATGGAGCAAACTATTAAATGTATTTAAAAATGCAAGGTATTATACCTAATAGAAACTAAAAAGAATTGCATGTGGCCCAGAAGACACTATGATGGAACATATGCTTTAATTACAAGGTCTAGAAAGGAAACACAGGTAAGTATATCATTCCTTATAGCTAAGAACTTTAAATTCAAGAAAACTCCAATTTTAATCTTAGTGAGAATGGGCTACAAAGAATTCTCAGGTGAAGGCATGTGTGAGAAAAGTTCTAAGAAAATAAACAAAATCTCAGTAAGATCCAACTCTATTATTGATTCAGTGAAAGAATATTAAAGTTAAGATTCTTAAGAAAGACTGATATGGGAGGATGATTCTTCTTCACTGAAGTCCTTTCAAGGATAGCAGTGCCAAAAATCACAACACATCTAAGCAATGAAAGAGGAAAGGGGAAAGTAAAGGTCAATAGGTGCAACTAGTGAGCACTAAGTATGCTAGGACTAGAAAGATACTGGAAGATAATTCAATTTCACTAAAAGCAATGGCAAGTAGAAGAGGTTATGTACTTAAAAACTAGGAAACCATCAGGAAGTGTCTAAATATAAATGGGAAAATACTAACAACAAAACAAACTTTAAAAAAAAATAACTCAACTGTGAAAAACACAGCCAAAGTTGAGAGATGGGCTCCTGAATCCAATGAGCAGAAAGGAAAAACAGGATCTGCTGGGCAGGATCACAGGATCCTAGGTCCTTGCAGTGCAGCTTTGTGTACGTATTATTGTGGGTATCTGTGAACAGAGACTTAATGATGGACAAGTCTTTAGTAACAAGACAAATACTTCTATAGGAAATGCTAATTTAAACTTATGGTGGATGGATTCACAAGAATGTTAAAGATAAAATATAAAAAGGAGAAAAAAACCTCCTTTACTCATGTTGGAGAAAAAGTAGCTTTGGGCTTCCCTCTAACCACATGGCTAACCACATTCAGATGCCTATCACACATGCTTGACTATGAAACAATCATATAGTCTTAGAATAGGAGCAGTAGTTGTCACCTTTATATTTTTTAGGAATAGGCATATGTGAGCTACAAAAGAACGGAAAAAGAAAAAACATCCTTGTCTGATTCTATGAAGCAGATATATGAAAAAAAGTGAATTTATACATACACATGACTGCATTTCTCAGTTTTAAATGAGGTTGGTTTCAGGTAAATTTACTGTCTATGTTTTCTAATCACTCATTCATTATTAAATGCATTTCCCACTTCTCATCTACCAAGCTGAAAATGATGCTGAAATCAGTGCTGACTGTTTATGATTTTTAAGTGTCCTTGAAACAGTGTTCTGTTGCCAACTGACATTATAAGCCAGATCCTACTGCACCTATCAGGCATCTGTGTGTGATCCTATTCCTGCCTGAGTCCCTTAAGAACAATTAACAGAAAAAGTGGGTGGGTCCCTTCTCCATTTTTTGTGACTTTCTCTTTGAAGAAAGAGAAGAGTAACAGTTGTTAGGGAGTTTAGCAGGGTGGAAGAGGTTCACATTTAGACACTGTATAGACACTTGGAGACTCTGTCTGCAAAGACAGTAAAATCATACAACCAGAAAATGATTAACTATGTGTTGTGCATCTAAAAGCTAAAAAAGTCCCACAAAAGCAAAGCTAGCACAATTTCTTTAAGGAACAAAATTAAAAGCAACTTGTGGTTATAATTACTATGTAACATTTAGGATGATTAAGTGTAAAAATGCACATTGCTCACATGCTAATTATTACCTGCTCAAGTAAACAAGATTTGAAAAAAACTAGTCCATGCAGAACAATAATTTCATTTGACTGTGGTGTAATACATCACTAGTTTATCCTCCAATCCCCAAAACACTGCCAGCACCAGGAGCAAGCAAGCCTTGCATCTGAGATGCTGATTCATGATGATAGTTGTGCAGATATGAAGTAAGCATGTTATTAGAAAGAAACAGTGGTGCATACTCACTTCATCTCTGCTCCAAGTTCTCCTCCGTGTAATTGTTGGGGGATCAAGTGCTTCTGTTAGCTGAGGCCTAGAATCATTAGACCGACCATTTCCTTCTGGTGGTTTGGCATGCACTAGTGGAGGAATTTTTCTGAAGTTTAGACTTTCATCAAATACACGATCAACCAACTGAGACAGGGGAAGAAAAAGATTCATTTAGTGAAACAGATGCATTTTATGCAACCTAATGGATACATACAAGGTAAGTCTAATTCTTCTCCTGCTGAAGTAGTTTGCAGTAAGATAGCTACATAAACTTTGTTTTTATCATAAATGTGTTAAAATACATATATATTAATATAGGGAGAATTTTGGAAAAGAGAATAGCATTTTTTCAATACCAGTAATATACATATATTGATGTAAATTTGACTGCTCAACTGAGAAGATTTTTCCTAAATATAGCTGACATGAGAAGATCCTAAAAAGTTAAAATTAAATTGCCACTTAAGTCAGCAATCTACACATTTTACTCTCACATTTAATGCCAGATTTCCAAAAAACTAATGGAAAGAAACTTTTTTAACTCAGCGAATAGTCTTTTTCTGGTTAAAAACTGTTATGGAGACTCCTATGCCTACTTAAATGAGATACTGCCACCTATGGTATTCTCTAATATATGTGCAATTTGTTAACTTAAATAGAAAGGTAAATGGAAATATATTTATCAAGTAAAATGTACGTTAATATGATCTAACTGGATCTAAGAAAAATGCATATTTATGTAGGTGATGTTTGGTTGTGAATGCAAGAGACAATTACTAATCTACATGGGCTTAGCCAATTACATGCCATTCAGAACATCCACACGTTATTTGCCATAGTTTATAATATTTCTCACACAAAATAAGTCTCATACTGAACACAGTCTATTAATAAGTTAACCAAATTTTACATAGATTAAAATGATTAAACTTATTTTGAATGAAATACAACAAGAAAAAAAACAAAAATAAACATGTAAATGAAATAATGTGAATGATTATATGGTGGAAATTAAGTAATTTTTAATGTCTTCTTAAATGTATGTAAAAAAGCTAAGACCTGTGATTGTGAATAGAACAAGTTAGTTAATACAATTTAATACACAGAACAACAAAGGAAGTCAAAGAACAGAAAGATTAAAGAGCAGCACAAGGCAAACTTCATACAAGTTAGTTCTTTATAATATTAGGGAAGAAGAGCTAACGTTAGTGTTAATTAATGCTACTAGAGGTGCACTGATACATTAGTCCGACATCGGATCAGCATCGATATAAAGAAAATTTTCTGTATTGGAAAATCGGTCCAGTTAGGGTGATAAGTTCTCCGATAAATGCACGTGCATGTGTGCAGCTGCAGCACAGCATGTAGGCAGTGTGGAGCACAGCCTGGCAGTGTGGCGTGCTGCATGCAGCTGGTGTCTGGTGTGGTGGAAGAGGAAGGGAAGGGGGGAAAGGGGCGTGAGGGGGGAAGATCAAGACTTCTGTGATGAGGGATGGTGTGGGGTTGGAGCTGCTCAGCCAGGGCCAGGGCGAGACAGAGGTGTGAGTTGTCGGGGGGCGTGGGAAGGCAGAGGGGCAGCTCCTGCTGACGCGAGTCGCTAGTTTGGTGCTCATCTGGCAGCTCCCTCTGCTGTTCCCACTGCTCATCCAGGAGGGCATGGGGGAGGGGAGGGGCATGTGCCCCTGGATCTGCGTGGGATGGGGTCGGCTGGGGCTGGGCTCTTCCCAGCTGGTCGGATCCGGGGGTACACGCCCCCCTCCATGCCCATCTGGATGAGTGGCGGGAGCTGCCAGACGAGCTGTGTGCAGCGGAGGGGCCTGCCCCCGCCACAGCCCCAGCCTGAAGCTGCAGCCTGCCCTATGGCACGCAGATCCGGGGGTCACATGCCTCCCCTCCCCAGACAAGCCATTTGAAGCTCTGTCCCATGCCCTTCCCCGCCCTGGCAGGGTCAGTGCCTACCCCTGACCCAGACCCATTCCCTCCCTCACAGCAGAGGCCTTGATCTGCCCGCCTCCCCCACCCCACCAGACTTACCAGCTGGAGAGCTGCGTATCGGCAATCGGATCAGTATCGGCTGATATACCTCCTTAAAAATCGGCTATTGGTATCGGCCCCGAAAATCTCTATCGGTGCACCCCTAGATGCTACATGAATTTAAGTGCTAACACAAGGAAATTTCTATGTCATTCATGAATAAATGGCCTTTACTAGCTACAATAACTATGTACATTGCCATGTATGTATTTTTATTTTACACATAGCACGCATTTGCATATAAACACTAATGGGGTAAAAGTGCTTAGATACTATTCATGGTATCTAAGGCCATGTACAGGTAAAGAACAAATAAACATCAAGTTTTGTGTTTTGTAATAAAGAGACACAAACAGTAAGAATGCTCTGGATGACCATTTTGATGATCTGTGTTCATTGACTGATTTGTGTTCCCTGTTTGTAAAAAGGTAAAGGGATTTCAAAATTAAAACAGAATACAGAGAATTCATGCAAACAGGTTGGGTGGGAAAAACTAAAAAAGCTGTGCAAAAGGCTAAAAGGAAAAGAAATAAAGAAAAGAAAGAACCTTATGCATTTCTCCATGAAGATCTCCTACCTCTTCTCTAGTGTCTATGGCAGAGCCAGGGGTGGTGGCGGCAGTGCTTACTGTGGTACTGGGGGCAGTGCCTGATGAAGTCACTGAATCTATCTCTCCTGCTACATCGTTGATTTCCCGGGCGATGAGAGCCAAATCTTGGCTGATCCTAGTAATAATTTTAAAGACAACATTACATTCTCCCAATAAAAATATCATTAACAGTAGTGTCCAACCTGTGGCGTCTGAGGATGGTTGTGCTAAGAAAGACAGGTATTTGCTTATGAGTTGAAAATATTCACTGTGCTGTGCAACTGAAGGAGGAATTTTCCCAAAATCCACTTCAGGGCTTTATCTGAAGTCTTACTAGAACAGCTTTGCTATGTGAAGCAGAGAGCTCTGAGCAGCTACTTCCCTTTTCTGTCATTACTATTCTATTACCTGCTTATCTGCTGTATCATGAAAAACTGGGTAAGAGTTTGACTGGTTCTGCTTGAGTCTAAGGGAGCTCCAAGAAAACGACTGCTCCCCTCTCCCCCCCCCAGTTAACCCATAACCCCATAAAAATGGGAGAATAGAGAAGATGAGAACCAGACACTAGTTAGGACTCTGTTATTCTTTGCCTCATACAGCACCCTTTTATGACAGCTTTTGAACATTCTCCCTGCCAGAAATGCCAAGAACCAGAGTTCAAAACACTTCAGACATTCTCTTTTATTTTACTTGTTGCTAAGAGGATGGCACAGCTCAGCTAACACTGGTTCTGTGACCACTGAAGACTAAAGAAACCCCAGCAGAGCCTTGTGAGTGGCCTCTGCTCACTGTGCGGTGCCATCAGTCATGAAGTGAGTAGAACAGGGCTATAAATCTACTCCTAAAAACTGACAGTAGCTCACTGATTTTTGCTAAAATATGTTTGAGCCTCAGGCTGAAAAGATTGGACACTACTGACTGCATCAGAGTTCAGAATTGAAAACAGCAGCTAAAATAAATCAGCACACATATTTAGAGGGTTTTTGGCATCATACCCCAACATTTTAACACTAGATTACAGAGTTTGTCACTGACAAGCATGCTAACATGAACTAATGCAATTTTGAATGAACAAATATAGTTAGAACAATGTAAGACAACATGTTAAAAAAATATCCTCCATCACTTGAGATGACATTTTTAGATGATAAATGAAAGGAACTACGAAGTGAACATTTAATTCTGAAATGTGAATTTAATTTTTTACATGTAAATACATTTTAGCCATGAATTTTTCACTTCTTAAAATAGTAAATGTTTTCTCTTATCTTACTCATCAGGTTTCAATTCTGGGACAAACTTGATTTTGTTTTCCAATTTGTAGTTCATATGTTTATTTATGTGTGTATTGCTAACTTGTTAGGTTTTGAAATATCATGCTGACTGACAAAGAAATTAAGCAATTAATAATTTCTTCACTGTATAAAACTACACCTTTCTTTTAAATGAGAGGTATTAAAATGTTCAGCTAATCAAATGATTGTATTATTGAGATATTTATATGTGCCTTGTAAATAATTAATAGATCAAAAGAAAATAAAACAACTGCTCTTCAGCAATCTCTCCAGGTCACAAATACTATCTATATCACCACTAAAAACAGAATTATTTTATGGAGGTCCCACTTTTCCATAGATATTCAAAATTTCAACCAACTGTCTAAATAACAAGTGAACTTCTGTGAGTCAGCCCATTACACTGTATGATTTCATACATGATGTCATGTAAAAATGACAGCAAGTCAATCCTACAGGACTCACTGTGGTGATAGATAATTCTAAAAGAAATGGCAACCATTTGCAGTTAACAAGGTCAAACACTGGTCATGTGGACAGTATTTCAAATTAGTTTCACTAAACGTTAATTATGGCTGAACAGTAAAGGTTCATTTCCTTGCAGGGAGCTCTTTCACCAATGAAATTAGGGAGAAAAAGGTCAAAGCTGGAGATTGTGCATCCACAGAAGGATAAAACAGAAATATACTCTACAACATCTTTTTGTTTGCTCAGTTAAGTAAGCTTATTATACACAGGCATAAAATATATTCCTCACTTTGCCACCTCATTTGGTACTGTAAAGTCTTACCATAGTATGAAGTTTTTTCATAAAATATAATGTTCCCTAGATCAGGGGCTGGCTGTGTATAACACCTTTTCCCTCGATGATGCAACAATGCTAGCAAAGCCCTGTTACAGATACTGCTATGTTGACAAATTTCTGTTGGTTTACCCAATGTAGGGAAGTGGTCTACAATACATGGCATATACATAATCTCCACTGTGAAACCCTTCCAGCAGTTATGCCAGCATAGGTATAGTTGCTCTGCAATGCAGGCAAGCTACAACTAGTAGTTCTTGCAGGCTTGTATTACCACTTAAAGTACCAACTATTTGGTTCATTACCTAAGAAAAAATATGAGGAAAAAAATCTCAGTAAATTTTTCAGTCTAGTAGTTAGATCACTACATGTACAAGTATTTGATGCAGCTTTCTGAGCAGAGTGTTCATAAGTTCACAAGCCAAAGTTTAAAGGCTTCCAAGGCGTGAGTAATGTCATCCTGTCAAAACTGTGAATACTTTCGTGCTATTCTCCCCACTTACAAAATGATATAATTGATTTTTGAACGTAGAACATAATATAGTAAAAGCACATAAGAATCCACAAGCAACAGAACAAAGCCTGTAATTCCCAAATCAAAAGATATTTTTCATTACTGTAGCTCTAACGCCAAGTTAGTTCTTAATTTTTATTTCTTCAAGGGGTTCTCAAAAGTGCTCAGATTAAGTATTATTTTTATCTGCAGAGAAGAATTTAGAACACTAAAATAAGACATAATGCCAAACTTTTTTTTTTTTTTTTAACCATCTCCCCCCCCTTTCCAGAATGCTTTCCTAAAATGGGATGGTGTTCATCTGCTCAACTTCATGAGCAAGGCTACTAAACCCTTCTGTTGCCACTATGTTGTGGAGAAGGAGAATGGAGAAATATAAAGGTCCTGCACTATGTCATCACTTTGTCATAAAGAGAGCAAAGCAGACATATTATCTTTACACAGAGGTATGAAAAACATTAAAATAGTAACTGCCTGTACAAACCCATCACAACAGTGCCTACTGATGTTGAAAGACTTCAGTTTAGTGTAATGTTCTGTGTTGCCTCAACTAAACCAATTATTTTTGCAAAGTGCTTTGAAATCCTCAGATGAAAGCTAATTTCACATATTATAATACTGAAAAGAACTGCAGTCATCTGTCCTGAATATTAAAATGAAATGGAGCAGAATGATGTAACAACTACTTTAAATACTAAATTTCAACAGAGCAGTTGTGAAACCCTCATTCTACGTAAAATTCCTCAAACTGTTTTTCTCAACTATAATGACCGTGGATGATCTAACATTCTGCAGCACTAGTCAATTCCTTTCTTTCATCTTCTGATTACTTCCAATACTATAAATTGGACCTAGTTCTTTCTATATTTGACATCCTAGTTCATGCAAGTAAAGAATACCAGTTTTTAACAATGTGTTAACTGTGAACATACAGAAACATACTACTCCAAAAAGAGAAAGTGTTCTTCTGTTTTTTAAACAGTGCTCTCAATTTTTAACTAAACTGCTTATTTATAACAGTTGCAAACTGTTTCACCACAGATTTGTGTGAAAGGGGCAAAATATGGCAACCCTTTCAAAAGATTAATTTACTTATGAAGCAACGATAATTTGGATAAAATTAGATGCTGCTGCCAAGCCATCTGCTTTCACACTATAATTGTACATTTAGCTGCTTTATTAGATACTTATATTTGCAGCTTCCTAAACAGAACACTTTTACTCAATGAAAGAACAATAGAATTTAATGAGATCAGGCACAAACAGGCAGCAGTCCATCCATGATCCATTTTCTCATTAACCCCTGCAAAGACCTTTTGGTGAACACAGTTACTTGAAATTTGTATTAGGGAGGTATGAATTCGTAGAGGTTTCCCTTGATTTATGCAGGTTTGATTTATGCAAATTCACTCTTATGCGATGACCCCTTTTATACCTGAAATTTGTTATATGCGAGGTATATGTGATTGGCATAGGCATGCTCCCCCAAGCAGGTAAATCTGTGAGTTTGTGAGGGGAGGGGAAAGTGCCATGGGGCTGGGGCCCCACTCACTGCAGCCCCTGCTGCACCTGCTCTGGGAGAGGCCAATGCTAGCAGCTTGTAGCCACTGGGCTGTGCCATGCCCCGAACGCCCTGGGGCCAGTGGCTGCTGCAGGCTGGGGCCGGTGGTGGCACCAGGCTCTTCCCAGTGCTCAGGGTGGGCTACGGCAATGGGAGGGGGGCTGCTGCCACCCCAAAATTTGCTGTAGCTTTGCACAACCTGCTCTCCCAGCACTGTTTACAAGCACCAGGAAGTGCCTGGTGCCACTGCCAGCCCCAGCCTGCAGTGGCTGCTGGCCTCTGCCTACTCTCATCCCACTGCAGGCTCCTGCCTGCTCCTGCTTCAGCCCTGGGAGTGGTGGACACTACGTGCTTGCAGTCACTGGACTGCACAGCGCCAGGGGGTTCAGGGTATGGTGCAGCCCCGTGGTTGCAGGCAGCTAGCATCGGCTGCTGCCCAGGGCTGCCACAGTAAAGGCTGCAGTGAGTAGGGAGAAATGGAGCAGTGGGGTGAGTTGGGAGAAGTGGGGTGAGTGGGGCTGCCACTCACCACAAGTGCCAGGAAGAGCCTGGTGCCACCCCTGCTGCAGCCCCAGGAGTGGCAGACATTGCTTGCTTGCAGCCACTGGGCTGTGCTGCACCCCTCTCCCCACCCCTTCCCTTCCCCAGCCCCAGCCCCAGCCCCCCATGGGAACACATCCCTATTTCATTGTAAACTGGGTTCGCTTTATGCAAATTCGATTTATGCGCCGTTCCCTGGGGACACATCTACCGCATAAATCAAGGGAAACCTGTATGCAGAAAAAACAAAAAAGGAAGAAAAAAAGGACCATATATGCAGTCCTGAAGAAAACTTCACAAAATTACTGGATTACCCAATTCTACCAGGGATATTTTTATGTTATCAAATCTACAATACTACAGATTGTTGTACAATAATGGTCCATCAGCATTTCAACATTTCACCTATAAAAACTGACGCTATTTAAATAGTTTTCCCTGTGGACATGAATAGAAACAAAAGCAAAGTCTTGGTTCCCATAATACATGAAGGCCTACTGAAAGAGACAGCCTCACCTACCAATATATGTGAACTTAAGTTCTACAGCTTCATATATATTAGCAGGGGTGCAATATGGCCTAAATTACAGTCAATCCTGTAACAGGTAGATCTTATAGCACAGTCTACTACTAAAAGTGCCTCACTCAACACACTATAACAGGGGTTGGCAACCTACAGCCCATAGGCCTAAAGGCTAGGGACAGAAGTTATGCATAAACTGGCTTAAGTCATCAGAAACTCATTTAAACCAGTAACAGGACAGAAGTTCAGTGCACATAAACCAGTTTCAAAATGGCAGAAACTGGTTTAAGATAAACCTGGTTGAATGTAATATCAGATTTAATTGATTTAGGTCAAACCGATTTATGAAACTTCTGTTCCAGACCCCTTCCTGGTTCAAGTTAAATCACAGTCCCTCAGCATCCCAGCATGCTTTCCAGCCCTGTGCTGGGTTGGGCTGTGCTGTCTGTTCCAGAGGGGGAGGGGAAAGAGGCAGGGACTGCCCCCCAACATGCAAACCCCGGCTGGGGTCTGGGGCCAGGGAGGCAGATTAAACCCACCTTCCCCTGAATATAGAGCTGCCCTGCTGCTAAATTTACTGAAACACACTGCTGGCTGCGACTGTGGACTACATATCCCAGAGGCACTTGGAAGCAGGAAGAGGAAGTGATGAACAACCCTGGAGAGTTCTGCTGCTCTTGAGTCTAGACTGCAAATCCCAGAGACCTCAGGGGCAGCAGGGAGAGGAAGTGAACACACAGCCTATGCTGGCTACATGCCAGAGAGGTGTGCTTTAACACCCCGCAACTTCTGCAGGCATGTGGCTGCATTTCTTGAATCAAAAGTAAATGTATGTCCAGTTGTTTCTCAGATTAATTTCTGCAGCTCAGAGTAACCTGCAAAGACTGGATCAGTTCAGCCTCAGGCTTTTCAACTGTCTGTACCTAGCCAAAGAGACTGGATAGGTTCCACAGCAGTACCAACTAGCCCAAGCAGCAGAGGAGGTGCCTTCAGGATCCTACCACCTGCCATATTCATTTATGCTCACTGATACAGCAGAGAAGGCATTCCCTGGATCCTAGTATCTGCTTTTTTCTATTTACTCCTTTTGTATCATTTACTGTGGGATATAGCTCATGGTAGATGCTGGGTTGCAAGCAGTCACCTTTACTGGCAAAAGGTTTCCAACCTCAGTACTGTAAGATTCTGTCTTTAATTACTTATATTTTTGCCAAACAAACCACTCAGGATGGACATCTGCCTCAGGCTGACCCTTAAGGCAAAATAGCTCAGCTATTTTTAACTATGAGGGTACAGAAAAAGTACATTATATTATACAGGTTAAGCTCTGAGTAACCTCTTGGAAAAGTGAAACATATGCTTTGAAGTAGGGACCTGAAATTTGGCAAGGGGGAAAGCCTTTGTGTTGAGGATGTCTCTTTTCCCATTCTATGAAAATGTACTCAAAACTTCTAAAAAATACTTCATATATGCTCAGCTGAGACTGATTAGAGTTTGGTATTTAAAGTACCTGGAGACTGTACAACTGTAATAGGCATGCTGCAGTCCAGGGCTGAGGAGGACTTTCTTTGCAAATATAGTTTTGGGCTTCTGTGGGCTAAGGTGGGAGTACGAGCTGGAACTGAAAGCTTTCTTCTCTTGTACTGCCAGCGTCCACCCAACAAAATTAACGCAAAGCAAGGAGGAAGATGTCAATGGACAGGAAGTCTGTAGCTCCTGTACGCTTATCTCTGGGTCCCTAGGAGTCCCAGTATCCAGCACTCCTCCACTCTCCCTCTCCTGCTCTGAAGGGCAGGGAAAGCAATGGCTTCTGGATGGTTTGCTCAGCCCTCCTGAGATCTCACTGCTGCTATGCTTGAACAGTGCTGGGAATGTTCAAACCATGGCACAGATTCCCACTGAGACTTCAGACTGTTCACATGGGTCTCCCCAGGAATGTTAAAGGGCAGCAGACATTCCACCTGCTGCCTGAACAGTCCTGGAGACACCTGGATTGTCCAAGCAGAGGTGCATCTTCCCACCCTTTGAACAACATGGGGACTCCCCAGTAATGTTCAAAAGATATTGGGAATTCTCTTACCCTAACCCTAACTCCCCTTCCATTCCTCTCAACTGTCTGCTCTGACAATGGGGAGCGGTGGATTTGGGGTAGCGCTTGGGGTTATAGGTCTGACAAGAGCTGGGGCTCTAGAATTGATATTACTGGGGGGGCAGCAAGGGCCAGGAGACCTCTTTCTCCTCCTGGAAACAAAGGAACCCAGACAGTTCCACTTGCCCTAAGTGCCTCTGTCTTCAGGAGATGCTGTGCAAAATTGTGCTGGGAAGGGCTGCAGTCCTCTCCAGTCATGCTGTGCACCAGGTGCCCAGGGCACTTTTACCTGGTGGCAGCAACCCACCGTTGAGAACTACTGAAGTAGGCTGAGGCAGCACCAACAGTGGTTCGCAACTGGGGATGCGGCCACATACAGAACAGTTGTAGAAGGGTGCCCTCACTCAAAAAAGATTGAGAAACACTTGTCTAAGGTTATCTATACAACTAGCCATAAGAAATACTGTATATGAAGAAATGCCTGGTAATTACATTAACTCACTTTTACTGTGCTACTACTTCAGATAATCAGGCATTGATATTTTAAAGGCATTCCTTTAAAACCAACCTTGCTATTTCTTCTCGATGAGCAGTCCAATCTCTAAGGTAGTCTTCCTGTTCCTTTATCCTACGCTTGAATGTACTGCTACTTTGCGTTGCTGTTCCAGTGCTCTGCAGTCGAGTGGTTTTCAGGGCTGGAGAAGTACGTAGACGGGTATGTTTAGGGGAATTACGGTTTGATCCAAATTCATCTTCTGAGGTGGAAGCATAATCTGTAGGAAAGCGCCTCCATCTTGAGTTTACTATATTAGTTTAATTATTAAAAAAAGAATTATTATTGTATCTTTTAAAAAACAACAAATGTATGATTTTAGAAACACCATGACAAAACACCAAAACTGCTCAATATCAAGCCCCAAGTACCTCACAAAGGGTTTGTTTACTACATCTTAAAAAGAAAGCTAAAAAACTGTGTTAAAATCAAATACTGATTAATAAAATGTAAAAAAAAAAAAAAAAAAGATGCTCTTTGTATAATGGGGAGTAGGGAAAAAAGATGCAAATGCTAAGAACCTTATATAACGCAAGCAAACTGCATTATAGAGCATGGGCCCAATTCATTAACATTTACTCAGATAGTTGGATTGAACTTTTTCTGCAAATTTTACCCAGAGGTAAGTTTCAAGGTATTGATTTTAAACATAACATACAAAAAATTATAAAAGACATGTGAAGGAAGGGATAAGCTGCAAGGGCAACATGTAGTTGTACAAAAAATGCATAACTTCTACAGAACAAACTATGCATCACTTTGTAATTCAATATTCTGTTACAAAGGTTAGCAATACATCTACAATATTAATCCTCAGAGCAGACAGACTTGTATTCACACTGAAAACAATACATTTTTGTAGACAAGAGTATCAGTGGACAACTGAAACTAAGCTCTTCCCCAACAATGACTCATTAATGGAAAGAAAATGGATCTCAGAACAGTCATCCTTTACCCTTTTCTACAGGGTATAGGAATAGTGGTGCAAGTAGAAAGATTTATTACTATATTATGCTGTACCTAACAAATCTTATTAGCACAGAGTCCCATAAATGGCAATTATTTCTTTGTTAATAGCTCTGAAAATAAGTTCTCTTGTACTAAAGATTAATTCGTTAGTTTTAGAATAACCTAAATGTATGCATAGAATAACTTAATGAAAACTAGGAAGACTGTAGACACTTCTTCTGAGGTTGGTTAGGCATATCATGACCATGATATAGGTTCTCAGAAGCATGCAATTTTTTCTTGGCAATTTATAAATAAAAAATGTTAAATAAAATTAATTTAATTATGTAGAGGAGGGTGTCAAAGATAAGGCCTATGTACTGGAGCCATTTCACCCACTCCATAGGGTTGCAAGAAGGGCCAGAACTTCAGGCCTGAGTCCTGCTACTGAATTCCCAACTACGGAGCCCTGCTGGGAACATGTATCAGCATAGAGGGGGAGGAGGGGACATAAGCAATAGCTGAGTTAACCCCTGCTCCATTGCTCTCCCCACAACTGCAGGCTGGATATGGTCCAAGAGCTTAGATGAGTTTGACACCCCTGATATAGACAATATGAATAATATAAAAAATACAAGCAATAAATCTTGCCTTGTCCCTTTAATTGTTATTATTAATACGATATCAAATTAAACATGAATCGATTGTGAATGTAGGTAGAATGTAGGTAAGCACAATGTGAACTTTTAGTTAGAAACAGATATAGGCAGTGTCTTAGAATATTATAGTATGTAGAGTGTGACAATTGAGCATAAGCTTTTTCCCTTCCCTCATTTAAATATTGTTAAAATGAAAATGATTGATTTTTTTCAGATTATTTAAACCAAGAAGAATAGGTTTATATGCGTGCCTAATTCAAAACCCACAGACTTCAAATGGGCTTTATATCATGTTCTACTTCTATTTCAAATGGACTTTAAATCGTGTTTTAATACTTTAATCAAGAAAAAAGTTCTATTGATATAATAGCCACTTCTTACAAGATTCAAACTAGACTAAGGAAAACAGATCATAAGCAGAAAAAGCACTTCCCTCCACCAAAAGCATGCAAGTGACATGTGACCTTAGAATTTTATGAGTTGGGCCCAAAGTTTATCGACAATCTTTTTGGAAAATAACTTAATTTTTAAATCAATTTTTGTCCTAATCCTAATTTAGGGAAAAATAGCAAAATCAACATAACTTGTTCTAAAAAAAATCCCACTTGAGAGAGATTATTTTTAGAACTAGCACTATACAATGAGCATATGCAATCAAATTAAAAACTAAAGATTGAATGAAAAGTGAAGTATCAGAAACAGATATGATTTCTAGTACTCTACCACTGTAAGTTTCAACAGCAGGATCTGGGTCTGGGAGAAGCTGGGATTTCTCTGTGTACGAAATAGTGTTTTATCATGTTAATTCTTAATGATAACATTCAGATTTGCAACATTTGCCTAATAAATATCTACTGATGAAATTTAGCATGAACTCCTCTATATAGCATTCTATGGTTGATGAAAAATATCCTGAATTATAAATTCATTTAAAAATAAATTTCAAAAGGAACGGGCATCCAGATTACATTACATTATTAGCATGGCTATTTAGAGCCAAAAGCTGATATTTAAAGATCAAAAAGGCTTTAGGTCTCAAAATGATGTTGGGTTGAATGTTTTACAAGTTTCTTATATAAGTTTGGAAACATGGTTAGCTTACCGTAAAAATGGTGCAAGTCCCGTAGATCAAAAACAGTGAAGAGAAACTGAGCACTTAAGAAATACGTAGGGGTACGTCTGGGAGACCTCACGTCACCCTACCTGGCTGGTATGACCTACTTATACCTAGGATTAAACTGCCAGGCTGGGGTTACAAAAACATTTTTCTACAGGTTCAATTACTCTCTCTCTTTTCTTTTTGTTATTTGGCATAGTTCACTTCCTAGGCAAAATATACCTAGTATGGTTTTAACAAACTCCATGTCATTGCAGTTGCCCAAGGTATTAATGATACCTTGATCTCTCCTGCTCTTTTCCTGTGGCTCACTGTAATCTTTGAGGCTCTTGATCTTTCTTAGTTTCTACGTTGTTACAGGACATCAGGGGTGTTTTGTGGCTGCCTGGGGCATCAACAAATCAAATCAAATGCCTTGAGATACTTCAGTAAGCTGCTTCATTAGAGAGCTGAAATTATTTTGTTAACAAAGTGAATTTTGAAATTTCTGCAAACAACATTTTACTAGAGATAATGTTTTAGGGCAAGTGTGTTGTACTTTTAATGATATAGTGCATGTGTAGAACAGTGTCTGATCATCTTGAAACAGCTTTACAAAAAAATAATTAATGACACTTCCTAGTAACCTGCTGAAATGGGTAGTGATCGTCATCATTTCAATGAGAGGTAAATGGAAACATAAAACAACTAGACTCTTGCGTTTGTAAGACAATTTACACTGTATAACTAACTACATCAAAGCAAACTTCCCTAACATGCACAGGCCTCCCGCAGTAACAAGCCTGGCTTCAACTGATTTGTTTCTTGCTTTTTTGTGTGAGCATTCTTTTGGCATTTTATATTTTCCTCAATTCAGGGTTTAGACTAGTAAAGTATTTAGCACAGGAACAATTTATACTGCTAATTTTCCAAACAATGGTGTCTTGAATATTTAACAGTCCTAATAGTCTTGTGGAAAACTAGAAGTTCATACTGTTACAAGAAGGAAAAAATATCCTAATGGGATTTTATTGAAAACAGAAAAAGATGGTATGGTGAAACAAGAAATTTCTAGTTTTTATTCCTTTGATGGTCAACCTCCATATGAAAAATATTAGGGAATTAAATCAACCATATATATCAAAGCAAACAAATTGGCTCTATTCTGCCTCATCTGATGCAGCAGCCATTTGGTCTGTATACAAAAATCTCAGCTTCTGATGGAATCATCAGGAGTAAAGATGTACAATATAGAACACCAAGGTAGATAACATGCTAGGGAAAAATGTTTACAACCTTCATCTCCATTTTAAAATAACAGAGCATAAGGCCTGTGTGGGATTTTTGTTTTCTTTTACTTATTCATAATAAGATTTTTTTAAGGAAACAATCAGATACAATTTCACATTTACAATGACTTCATGTTTCAGTGAGGATTAAATTTCGTAATTTTTAAAAGAATATGTTTTCAGTTAGACTGAGATTAAACTATAATTTACTTCTCAAGGTAACAAATGTTAGTGGTCAGCATAACAGAAATAGGTACCTAGTATTCAGTCTGCATATCAACAATGGCAGTAGAATCACAGAAAATTATGGTGGGAAGGGACCTCAGGATGTCACCTAGTTCAACCCCATGCTCAAAGCAGGACTACCCCCAACTATAATATCATCCCAGTCAAGGTTTTATCTAGCCTGCTCTTAAAAACCTCCAAGGATGGAGATTCCACAAACTCCAGTTTCACTACCCTCCTCATGAGAAAGTTTTTCCTAATATCTAACCTAAACTCCTAAAGTGCCGTGTTGCAATTTGAGACCATTGCTCCTTGTTCTTTCATCTGCCACCATTGAGAAAAGTCTAGCTCCATCTTCTTTGGAACCATCCTCCAAGTAGTTGAAGGCTGCTATTAAATTCCCCCTCAAGCTTCTATTCTCCAAACTAAGTAAGTCCAGCTCCCTGAACCTCTCATAGTTGTTAGGGGCTGGAAGGGACCTTACAGGTCATTGGGTCTCCTCAGAAGTCATGTTCCCCAGCCCCCTAATCATTTTTGTTGCCCTACACTGGACTCTTTCCATTTTGTCCACATCCCTTCTGCAGTGGGGGGCCTAAAATTGGACACAGTACTCCAGATGTGGCCTCACTAGTGCTGAATAGAGGGGGAAAAAATCACTTCCCTTGATCTGCTGGCAGTGCTCCTACCAATGGAACCCAGCGTACTGTTAGCTTTCCTGGCAACACGAGCACATTGCTGGTTCATATTCATATTATAGTCCACTATAACCCCAAGGTCCTTTTCTTCATAGCTGCTGCTTCACCAGTTGGTCTCCAGGCTGAACCCAGTAGTTTTATAGGAACACTTTATTTGCATAAAAAGTAGGTAAGCAACATAGAAATATTTCTAACAGGTGGGAGACAGGAAGTGGTAAAGTTGTCCCATTCAAAGCAGTGAATGCAAGGGAATCATTTTAGTGGAATAACATGTTTTCCACTTGGTGCTTTACAGAGAAGAGCCTGTACCCAAGTTAAATTAATGTAGCTGCAACAAAGCACTAGTTCCCATGAACAAACTGGCTGATATGTAAAATGACTTCAACATCAGCAGTTTTCTTGTGGCCGTTCAATATTCCGGCCATATGGAAACTACCAGCAGCTACCAAGGTCTTTCATTTGCCCTTACTTGCAGTGTCATGTCAATAATTTGTAAGACTGTCTTTAAGATGATAGGTTCAGGATTACTAACAGTAGCCTTCTTCCTACAGGAACAACAATCCTGACAGAAACAAGTGGAAGAAGTAGGGGCCTGTACCCTGTAATACATACCCTGTTTTTTCTAGCAAATCGTAGTTTGGAATCAGTAATGAAAGCGGCCCTAAACAGGGCTTCAGCCCTTGATAGTGAACTATATTTCAGCTAATATTAGCCATTTAGTTCTGTAATGTTTGGTTCAGTAGATTTTACGTTTAGTAGTATGCATATTTTGCTATTCACTGCTTAGTTTTGACTTTCTGGAAGCAGATCTTAAACTGTCTTGAATTTCAAGCAATGATTTCTGTTCCATGTTCTTTCTCCTAATAGCATCTGAACACCTCAGATACCACCTTTGGTAGGAGGTTTCCAATAAAAAAAAACATAGGCCAAAGGGGCAAAGGATTCCTTGTAACAAACTTTAAGAAACCCTTAAAAATAATAAAGAGCCTCTTTCTTGGAAGAGAAAGAATGCTTCAAATGAAGTTAATGCTTCATACTAAACTATACTCCTTTAAACATCTATAAAAATAAAGACTACAAGAAAGCAAGCAAAATATCAGGTACTGAAAAAAAAGACTGGATCCAAATCATGTCACATACCTGTTGGAGAATTATGGGCTGAGGTCAATGGCTTGGATTTTGAATCTGAAAGTCGAGAAATGCTATTAGCTCTAGTTCTAGCAGAAATTTTACTACTATCCGCTGGTGGTGTTAATCTTGCACCACTTCTAATGATGGCTTCTGGGGTACGAGATGAAGCAGTACTTCTAGTTATTGTTGCTTCAGAATCACTTCGTGCTGATAAAGAGCCAAGTCGAGTTCTGCGTGGTTGAGCAAGTAAATCTATTCTGGAAATATTTCTCCTTCCTGATGGAGGCTTTGATGTAGAACTTGTAGTGGATACTTCAGAAGCCACTGAAGCTTTATCAGCATCAGCAAGTTCACTATCTGAGGCTTCACCAAGCCGTGCTCTGCGCAAGAGAGAAGTCCTCGTGGGACGAGGCCTTGGAAGAGTGGTAGACTTACTAGACTGTCCAGTTGTAACAGGTGAAGTCTTTGATTTAACCGACTTCCCTTCCATTTTGGAATGTAGGAGTTCATCTGCAGAGGTAAAGGGAACCCTTCCATGTGATTTGCCAGAGTAAGTTTCCTGGTCAGATGACAAGATATCAGAAATGGCAGAATGAGGTACGCTAGATGTCTGGTCGTCATCTGTTAAATCTACTGATGGTTGCCTTATTCTTCCACTGGAATGCACGAGTTTACGAGCATCTGCTCTTGAACCAGCATCTGAAGATCGGGTTTTAGTTTTCTTTTCTACCTTTTCTCTAGCATTTGTTGCAGAAGATTTTAAAATATCCTTGGAAGGAGAACCAGTGGAACATCTATCTTTATAGAGAGTAGTGAAGCTCTTTCGCTTTTGACTGGGTTTTCTTTCAGCATCACCAGTAACCAAACTAATTGTACTGGCTGTGTCTACATCAGACTCTGGTGAAATAGAATTATCTCTATTATAGCTAGGAGTATCAGGACCTTCATCTGTTTTGTTTTCTTCACGCAACTTAGCTTCAAGAAAAGCCATTACTGCTTCTGTGTCTTTTAAAATGAGTGTTGTATCCAGACTAGAATCAGTATCCATAGAATCACTTCTCTCACGTATTCGGTTTGTGGATGCTGAAGGGGGAGCAGATCCAGTCTGTTTATTAATATGAGGGATAAGTTCTATAGGGATATTTGTGCTAGGCTTATCTATAGTAAAGCTGCCTTGTCTCACTAATGGTTTTGACGATTCCTTCTTCTCTCCTCCAAATCCTTTTGGAGTTTGACCTTTTATGATTTCCTCAGTTTTTCTTCTTTTCCCTTCACTTTGGGCCACCTTCACTTCTGCTTTACCAACAGCGTGTCCTGGGGCCTTTTCATGATTATCCAAGCTTTTATGGGGAGTAGGAGCCTCCTCTCTACCTTTCTCAACCTGGTTTGCAGTAGCTTTTGTGGAAAGTAGTTTAGCAGGTGTCCAATGTGCCTGCTCTTTTTGTTCCTGCTGTTGAATTTTAGCTAAAGCTTGTTTTACCACTGAAGTTTCCCTGGCAATTTCACCCTTGTCTTTACTGGAAGGACAACTGGTAGGGTGAGAAAATACCTTGTTGTCTCCACCAGCTTTTGGAGAGAGACCATTCATTGCTCTGCTTGACTTAGCCATGCTTCTGCTATCTGCATCATGTGGTATTTCTTTTTGGGATGTACGAGTTGGAGTTTCTTTCTCCTGAAGTTCTGTGTCCTGTTTTTCACCTATCTCTGATCTCTGAGATGTACCCTTTGCTCTTGGACTTTCAGCAGTTTTCTCCTCTTTTGGAAGCTGTGGAAGTGTTCTCCTCTTCCGCTCACCTTGGCTAGTCACAGACGTGGCTGAACCAGTGCTTTTAACTGAAATGCCAGATTCACTGATGTCTGTATCTAAAAATCAAAAAGGAAAAAGAATAAGTCATCTAGAAAATCAGTACCTTAATAATTCCATTGCCAAAATTGTTTTTTAAGTCTTAAGTATACACAGGAGTTTATTAATACAGTACATTTTTGTAGTAAGTTATTGTACTAAGCCCTTGTGCAATATATTGGTGAATATAAATTACTATATTGTTTCACTATAGTTTCAGTATTTACTCACAATGAAAGCCAAACTTAATTTTATAAAACATGTTATTAGCTACAGAAATGACATTTCAAGATATTAGAGAAAAGCATCTATTAAAAACTGTAGCACGTAGCAAAGCACTGACAAGAAAAAAACCAACATTACGCATTTGATTTGATGCACAGAATTACAAGCTTTCATGAAGAAGCATATTTCCTAAAATTCAGTGTGTTGCATGGTTGGCAGAAGAAAAGAAGGATATACAGAGAGAGCATGTCAAGACTATAGAGAAACATCTCTCCGTTTGTTCCTTATATCTTTGTCAGAAGCATCCTTCAATACGAAGATGATAGTCTTTTAGTAAATAGGAAATAATTGATGTGTCTGCTGAGGCCCAAGGAGGTTGATCCACGTGTTCGACTGTAACATAGTTCCAGGAGGAAGTAGATACTTCTAAGGTTGGGTCACAGCTTTTTTCCTTCGTCTCTCTCATTTATCAGTCTCCAAAATGGGGTGAGTTAGCTCAAAAAGTCCAATGCCTTGTTGCATACCATGGGGACAATTCAGTGCTTGAGTGTCCGGGGTATTGATGTTAATATTGCATTTCTTTCAATTGGCCTTGAAGATGTTGTTGAATCTCTTCTTTTGCCCACATCTAGAGTAGTGACCATTGGTGAATTGGGGGTATAGGACCTGTTTTTGGAGCTTATTGTCTTCATATCCCATTCATGTTGCACATGGGCTAGGGATTAAAGTCTTTCAGGTGGAATTATCTGTTCAGGCCTTTGTACTCCTATACTAAAAGTATGGTAGTGGCAATGTAGGTCTAAAGGCCATTCAGTTTCTTTACCTGTCCACAACCCAATTTGTAACAAGACTCCTTGGCAACAGGAGAAAGAGGGCGAGTCATAAAATATACTGATGGAAAACCCGTATCTTGAAAAACTCCAGTTGCTATACAGATAAGGAGTTTTCCCTATTTCAAGGGCTCATTCATATTGTTACTCCACTTTTGGTGACCCAAACAGTAATCCAATACATGCAGGGGACAGTACAGAGCCTATTTAAAAACAGATAATAACCACAGATTTGCTAAAAAAAGAATACCACTATCCAAGAATAACAGTGGAATCTATGAATAAGAATCCATCAGTGCATAAATACTCTGAATGAAGAATATACCTGAAAGAGATCCTGTGCTCTGAACCCCCTGAAACAAAAGGTTTTACACTACTTGCTCCTGTCTGTCAAAGAATTGTACTTAAGGATGACATGACACTGAAATAGTTTGGATTACAGAATTCTTCTAAATTTTGTGATACGTTTAAAAGCTCTGCTCAAACCATCTGCCAAAATATGCTGAAAACCCAAGAGAGAACTGCTTTGAGAAACAGCCAGTGCTGAACACTCCAATTCCATATCTAAATGACCTTCTGACATAGTGAAGATACCCATGCCCCTCCATGCCTAGTTATACTGTCAGTCAGTATATGGTTAAAGAAACCTTACATCAGATGCAAGAATTCTATATGTACCCTGTAAACTTCAGTACTCCAACACGTGTATGTAAAACGAGTGTCCCTTTGCAAGTCTATATGCCTAGTAATACAAATATGCCTCTCAATTCAAGCAATGCATCTTGTTAATATAACTGTGGTTGGAAGGATAGGTGAGGAAAGAACTCTTTGGCATACATTTTAGGCTTTTTTCCATAAGCCTAGTTAATAAAATTTCTTCTGGAAGTGCGAGAAGCATGTTTGTGATGTGTCTGCTCATGGCACAAGCTGATTTTACCCTACCTTTCATGCATAAATGACATACTGCACAATGGAAATGAAGGAGATCACACATTCTGTGATCCAATGATTTGACTGAATTTGTACAATTTGACTGAAGTGGACATTAGAAACGATTCTGAATCTGTATTAGTCTAATATGGTTACTGTGAATTCTATTTGTTATGCACAGATGTCAAAACAGACTTCATTTTTTTGGCCCATATAGATATGAAAAGATTCCGTATGTGATGCAGAGCTTTATGCATGATTCTGAGATTTCCTTCTGAGGGAATCATGTAACTATGATAAACTCTTTATATCTGGTTAGCTCATATATGGAGCAACTACTGCCCAGATCTTGGTGAATATTCCTTTGGGCTGCTGAGAGACCAAAGGGTAACAGTTTAAACTGCCAGTGGTTTGAACTCATGAGAAACCTCATGCCACTTGTGAACTGGATAAATGGAATTATGGAAACAGTCATCCGACAGGATGATAGCTATAACCGAACATTCTGGATCAAGAGATACTATTACAGAGGATAATGTGATCATAGAATTTCAGTTGGCAATTGAAAGTATTATGAGTTCAAAACAAGCTTCCATTCTCTCCATTTTCTGCATATCAGAAAATGAATTGAACAGAAACCTTTTCTTCTATAGCACCACAGGACCTCTTCTACAGACCTGAGAAATAGAAGAGAGTCCACTTCCTGTTATATAGGACAGGAAGGGGACTCCTGGACCACTGAATCCAGTCCAATGCATTCACTGGAACTTATTCAAGAAATCCCCCCAAAATCACTAAAACCCTCACATATAACTTTAAGGCTGAAACACAAAGAACACAGGATAATATAGCAAAGGTGCAAAAAGGGGAGATGAGGGCATTGCCAATGCCAGGCAGGAGAGTAATTAGCTCAGAAGATCTTAGGAAAATGGATCAGGCCCCATGTTACAGAGGAAGGCAAAACCCTTTCCCAGACCTTGTCAATCAGACATAGGAAGAAACTTGCTTCCTGCTCCTTGAGAAGAGGAGCAAGACCCTTTTCAGCCAGGAACTTCTGGGTTTTCTAAGAATTTACATACTAATTTATATCCACCTTACCCAAAAGGTTCTGCAAGTTTACCAAAAACAAACATTCCACCTGAGAACTTCAATTTCCCCCATCACTCAAGCACTGCCTCCTTGTCCAACCCCCCACACAAGCAAACCATCCTGCCAAGTTCAAGCACACCTCCCAAATGCTACTTACATCTAAATACAAGAAACTTCTTCCCATCCAGAGTCCCCTTTTGCTCAGTGGTAGAATCCTTGTTGGCCACACAGGAAACCTGGGTATAATTCCTGGAAACTTATATAACTACAGCCATGGAGGCACCAAATGTTTCAACTCCATCTGGCCTTTGGATTCTGTCTCAATGGCTTAAAGTGGGGATGAAAGGTCTGGGCAACCTTCACTCCTCCATACTGCCACTTAGGCATGTGTGTCAAAGATCTTGGTGACCTCTCAAACATACACCATGATCCAGAAGTACTGGCAGTTGCCAAACCATCTTCCCATCCGCTTCCACTCTCCTGTTTTATCTGGCTCAATTGGTAGACATATGGGGCCAGAAGACCACAAACCTCCAGCCTTAACGATGCATCCCAATACTTCAGAGTAAAGCCAACCCCTCCTCCTTTTCTTCCCAGGAAGCAATCTAGAGGAGAAAAAAAAATCCGTCTTGGCCTCTAGGGACCACCAAAAGCTCTGAAGCAGAATATGACCATGCTTCTTGTTGCCGGAGGTTATTCAGAGTGCAGTAGGTACAGAGTGAAACTGTAAGGAACAATCAGTTTACATATTTTCTCTAGCCTATAAGTTATTGATTCCCAGACTAATGACACCCTCTTCCCCTTTGCTTCAAAAAGGGAGAGACTATTTCTGAAGGAGACAAAGAAGAGACTAGATCCATAAACTGCAGTTAATTTTGTTCCAATATGACCATCCACATACATCACACTGATAGGAAGTGGGGCTCCAAAAATAAGGATACAAGACCATCATAATTCCTATGATGCTAGTTTCTAATGGATTAGATTTTCTTTCACATAACACATGCAGAAGAAAGGGTATTTGGGAAATGAGCAGAGGAATTGTCTACACTGTGATCCTGAGGAATTAAGAGGATTATAGTTGTAAAGGTTGGTGTGAGGGAGTGAAGAGGCGGGCCAGCTCTGAGGCTTCCCGCCCCGGTGCAGCAGCGCTAAACTCCCTCACTCAAGCCCAGAACGTGGGGCAACCACTTACCGTCTACAGGTGTGGGAAAGGAGGCGTGGCCCGGACGGCAAGGGCCAACATAAGAAAGATGCCGGCGTCTGGAAGAGAGGAGGCGGAACCGGAAGGGAGCCGGGCGGCAGCTGCGACACGAGGGAGCACCTGCAGGCAGAGTGGAACAGTCCGGAGGCACTGCCGAACCTGGTGGGGTAAGGGGAAGCCCCCACAGGGCGGGGAAGCTGGGTCGACGGGTCCCAGCGAAGACACGGGCTGTGCGACGCGGCTGAGAATGGCTGGACCCGGCAGGAGCCAGGAGCTGTATAGAGTGTAGTAGAGGGGCACTCTCTACAGAAGAGGAGGCTGGCCGGTGTTTGGGAGGACGAAAAGGCTGCATGAAGCCTGGGAGAGGACTGAAGAGCCCAGAGAAGGTTATAGAGAGGAGTGCTAGAGCACTTAGTAGCCAGGGTAATAACAAGGGGTGCAGAGGGCATGGCAGCCCATTGCTCTAGCTAACCCCTGGCTGTGAAAATTGGTTGTATGGACCAGACATTGCCTAGTGGATGGGGAGCGACTTACTGATGGGTCACCTACCCCGAGAAACAACCAACCCGGTGGTACGGGTGAGGGTGTAGGGGTGGCGGAGCCCTCATTGACGCTGGACCCCGAGAGTCCCAGAGTCTCACTTTTGGACTGACACGGGCCTGAGTAATATCACTGAACCAGAATACCCTCAAAGTCATGGCAGGTGTATCAGACGCATACAGACCGAGGGTGAACGACTCGTAGTGACAGGAAAAGCCTTTTCTGGACATGGGAATAGGCGAGTACGGCGCAGTACGTGCGCATCGCCCGCACAGTTGGAACAGGAGAACTGGGCTGTAGAACATGAGTAACAGCAATTTCAGGGAAAGATGGATATTGATGAGTACCTGAAAGTAAGGGAGATGCAAAACTGAAGGTTGTTCTGTATAGGACTGGAAGAGCACAGGACTGGAAGGCCCACCTGGGTCAGCAAGTCCAGTCCCCTGCAATCACAGGCAACCATGCAATAGGCATTTAGTTCAAAAAGTTTCACAGGAAAATTCAGCATCTTCATTATCAACACAAATGGAATTGCAACTCCCTGGCCTAAAGTTTGACATGTTGGACTTAATGTACTTAGTACTGTGATAGTAGTGAATGGTACTGAAGTGGCTGAAACCAGTGTTGAAGCATTCAGTGCTATGCTTGTATCAGATGATGCAGTTTCAGTATCAGCCAATGACTTTAAAAGTTTTCTTTGAAAAAGATTTGCATATGGCACCTTCAAAATACCTTAACCAAAAAAAAAAATCTAGTCTTTCCACTGTTGACAGGAATTGCAAACTTTCAAGAGGAGGAATAATTAAATCCAAGATTTAGGACCTGCCATCCTAAAGTTCCAGTAGGAAAAACTTGCATAAAGGAAGAACACTACTAAGAGTGCCCCAACCATAACAATGATCAAAAAAGGTATTAGTTAACAGCTACACGAATATATATTTAGATCATAGTGATGTGGAGAGGGGGAGTTGGCATGTAAACATCAGAATCAGCCTCAAAGCTTCATGGGTGAGAAGGAAAGTGTTCATTTTGCATTATCTTTTCTTTCAGTAGTGTTCTTTTTCAGAAAAATGTACATGAAAGAAACAAAAATGGTCAATGTGATGAAGCAGGCCATAATGTAGTCCGTATACACTTTAAGATGGAATTGTAGGAGCCATTTACCTACTTGCCTCCTATGGGACAAATTTAAGGGTTGATACAGCCAGCATCCAAGAGCCACTGTGACAATCTGCACTGTCTGTATACAACATACATGCAGAACCTTTTCAGCCTTTCAAGTGACTTTTAAATAGTCTCTCCTTCCCCAGTGCCTGGGCTCCTGACACAGAGTTGAATAGAATCGTAACTGAAAAACCAACATGACACCCTTAGTACTCCTCTAGACAAATCCCTTATGTAATGTTTCCAAGCTTTACCTTAGCTCACTGGGCTTTAAAACAGACATCCATGGAGCCTTTATCCTTATGTCCAATCCCTATTCCTTGTTTAATATCCCTGCTTTCTGAGACCCTAATGCCAGGATGGAGGAGAGAGGTTCCTGATGATGCAACTGCCTCACTTGCCTCCAGCTGATTACTGATAGGGCACTAAGAACAAATAACTGAAATCTCAAGTTGTAATGTGAAATTAATAAAAAGCTCAAAACACTTCAGAACTTGCTTCACTGTTTTATTAACTTAAGTTTTACAAATTTCCTTCACCTGAAGCCTCCCATTACACCATAGCCCCAACAGACTCACGTATCAGTGGGAGTAACAGCTTCTTTTTGGAAGAGATTCTTGGGAAAACATACTTTTCACTTTCTTCTATTGGTTTTGTTCCTGTGGATATGTAAATACCAATCTGTATCAATTAATTTTTATACTGATAGGAAACTCCAGAAGAAAGCCTAGAGGTGCCAAATCCATGTACTGCTGCAAATATAGTTGCTGAACAAATATATAGTAGCTTGTAGTATGCTGAGTACTCAGGATTCCACCTGGAGAGAATTACATGTGCAGACCTGTCACTTGGAAAGTCTGTCCACAGAGAGACAGAGTGAGAAGCTAAAGGTACAGCAAACCCTGGAACTGCAACATCTTCCAACATTCTTGGAAGAAAAATCTGCAGCTAGAACAAAGAGAGAAGACATATTTAGATATTTCTAAGAGATATTAATAAAAAAAGTTATAGTAAAATTAGAAAGAAGTATTTATACTACTCACCATTTTTAGGAACAGCCATCTGAATACAATCCTTTGCAAATATGCTAGTTGCTGGTACTAGATCTTGTGGAATTCAATATCTCTAATACTACTCTGTAGTTTTTTCAGATTAGGGAAGTTTTAACTTTGCATAGATGGTAGGAGTTTTAGTCAGCTGGTTTTGAAGTCACAAATGATCCTAAATTAACCCAGAAGGAAACACTTTTGGGACACTGCCCCTTCATCCCTGATAGTGTGAATACAGAAAGCTATGGATTCTTGATTCAAATCAATCCATACAAACTTAAATGTATGTCTATATTTCTATCTTTGTTGGATAGCTACCAATTTTTTTTTCTTTTTATAAATTTTAGACTTAGTTTTATTGTCATTATAATGAAATACAAAAGTAATATATAGTTGAGTAAGGTTTAAGACTTAACAGAATTTTGACTGACAGTTACATATGACCTAGTTCATCTAATTCTGTCACCAAGACTTCCACCTCCTTTTCCCTTTCCATAAAAAAACTACAAAAGTAAGATGACAACAAGAACTACTTATAGTACCGTTTTCTAAAGGACCAGATGCAGATGGCTCCAACCTCAAGTCATCCTGGTCATGTCGTGTATGATTAGCAGCCAAACTAGCCCACTGTGATACCCATCGTTTATTTCCAGATGCAGTACAGCTTTCCTGAAGAAAGAAAACAAAACAGGAAAAGAAAAATCAGATATTGATTAAAGATACTTGATAAAAAGGGATTAAACTAGCACATTAAAAATGTTGTTAATATTAATTTAGGTATTTTATGGGTGACAGGATGGTGCAGATATTGAAAGAACTTACTTCAATACATTTTAGAGAATGTTAAAACAATACTGAACTCTGTTCTTTGGACTCTAAACAGAGGCACAATGGGCTAAGCAGTGATATCTGACTGCAATGAACTTTTAAACAGAAACTATGTAAACAGAGAATATGTTTACGCAGAGATGTGGGGTGGAAAATTTCCCAGTGCTTTAGTTTTCTGTGGGAAATTTTCCATTTCTAAAAATTCATTGTTTCATAAAATTCATTAGTAACAATGAATGGATGCCAATCCAATATTAGGCCAGCTTGGCAGTTTCAAAGTTGTAATTAATGTTTTACAGGCGATTATCCCTAGGAAATGTGTGAGAAAGTACGTATATGGTTTATTGATTTGTAAACAGGAGGGTAAATACACTCACATAATAATCCGAACCAAAAATCAAGGTATGAATTCACATAACTGGCTGTACAGGTCAAATCAAAACCAAAGCTAAAATTCTTATTTAATTTCAGACTGCAAGTGAAAGCAAAACTAAAACTGTCATTAATTTTTGTTTCGCTTTCAGCTCAGCAAACACACAGGGTAGCATCTCATTTCTTTTCTTGAGTTGGGGAAGTTGGAGGTGTTTGCATAAGATCTACGAGTTTCTTAATGCTTTTGGTTTGAAGTAGTCATAATAATACCTAATCAGAAAAAAAACTAGTGTGGCATCATTATAGCAAAGTTCAAGCCCCTGAAGGAAGGACAAAAGTTGGCAGATGTAAATATTGCAGGCAGGAGTATGCTAACAACACAACAACAATGAAGAAACATTTAATAACATGTAGAAACTGTCCTGAAAGAGTACAAGCCATATACAAAAAGCTAATACAATGAAGTAGTGGGACGACACCATCTGGGAAAAGTTTACTTCAGGAATCCTATGTAAGTAAACAAATGAATGTGTTAAACAATACACAGTACAGACTACCATCTATATTGTTTTAAAACATTATTTTTAAAAGTTAATGCAACTCTGGACTATTATTTATTTAATTATTTAAAATATTTGTATCCTGCTTTTCTGTTTGCACTAAGCACCCAAAGTGGCTTAGGCTTAACAATATATATATATTTTTAAATTACACTACAGATAAATAGTTAACTATTTCAACCCAGCAGAGCGAGCTTAGTTCTTTGGCCAATGGCAGAGGCCAGACTATACTTCCCTTTGGCTCTGCAGTTCCGGGGCAACTGAGCAGCAGTGTTCTTTCTGGCAGGGAGGGGGAAAGCAAGCTCCCTGCTGCTTCTCCTTCTCCTTCTGATGGATGAGGCCAGAATAGAATAGGCTAAAATAAAAATTTTCCCTTGTTTGTTGCAGGAACTTGGTAACTCAAGTGATATAGCAGATTTTCAAAAAGTGGAAAATGAAAATGTTGAGCTGCCAGGTGTGGGGGAAGCAGCAGCAAGAACCTCGCTTTCAAGATCACTGTCACCAGATATGCAATTCACCATGAGTAGCTGATCAAAACAGTAAAGCTTTTCATCAAGCTTTGTGAACAAAATGTCAAAAGAAAAATCAAGAAAAAGCAGATGAGACATTAGCTCGGGCTACATTTGCAAGCTGTACACCTCTTTCCATAACTGAAAATCAATACTGGAAGGAACACTACAAACTAATTTGCCCATCGTGTAAGTTACTGTCACATTATTGCTTATCACATTCTCTCTTAGATAAAAAATATGACAGAGTGCAAACAATGGTTATTCAAAGGATTTGTCAAACAGAATCACTGACTCTGACACCAAATGGATGGACTGATATACAGGGAAATCCTTTACTGAACATTATGTCAGCAACACCTGAACCAATATTCCTGAAAGCAATTGGTACCAAATCTTCTTGTCATACAGGTGAATACACAGCCAAATTACTGAGCGAAGAGATTGGAAGTGCAGGTCTCTCCAGGCTACAACCCCTCGTAACTGATAATGCAGGTAACATGACAGCTGCATGGCAAATATTAAAGGCAATGTATCCTCATTTAATAGCACCTGGCTGTCTTGCTCATGGGTTGAATCTTCTGGCAAAGCACATAGTAAGTGTAAATACAATGAAGACAATATTGGGAAACTGCAAAGCGATTGTGAAGGTATTCAACAGTCATCATGGTACTAATCAGTCTTTGAAGAAATTACAGAAAGAGAAGCAGGGGAAGGAAAGTTCACTTTTATTGCCAGGAGAAACTAGATGGGGTTCGACTAGAAACTAGATGGGGTTTGACAAAGTTTACATAGTTTGCTGTGCACAAAGAACTGTTTGAAGTGTACTTTAATAGATGACACAGTATCCCAGATTATTCCTGTGAAACATTCGGCAACAGATTCTCAACAACGATGGGTTCTGGGCTTGAGTTCAAGGAGCATTCAATTTGCTACTACCAGTTTCAGTGGCTATCAAGAAAGTTGAAGGAGATGCACCAAGCCTTTCAAATATTCCAGAGATGTTCAGACAACTGAATAAAAATCTAATTGACCTTTTGCCTTATTCACTTCTATCAAAAAAGAAGTGATAGTAGTAGTAAAACAAACGTTTACTAAGCGATCTGAGTTTTGCTGTCAGACAGTTCATCTGGCAGCAAACCTTTTGGATCCTTAACACAGAGGTCAACAGTTATAAGATGATGAATTATTTACTGCTCTCAATACAATTATGGAAGTAGCTAAGAATGTCCCCAACATTGACAAAATAGCTGTAATGACAGACATTACTGAGTACTGCGCAAAAGAAAAACTTTGTTCCAAAGACATCATTTGACAGGCAGCAGTGAATGTCTCCTCTTACTGGTGGAAGGGATACTGTGACACCCAACTGTTGTGCAGGATTGCTCTAAGGATCCCAAGCATTCCACCAACAGCAGCTTCTTGTGAATTGAACTGGAAGGTTTTCAGTTCAATCAAAACAAAAAAGGAACAGACTAATAAATGAACGCACTGCTAAGCTTGTTTCTATTTCTCAAAATCTCTTGCTTCTGGAGAATCAGTCAGAAGCACAATTAGGGAAGAAGATGCAGTGTGATGATAAGTTGCCCTTGCCCATAGACTCACTGGTAAAACAATCCTTTAGTGAAAGAGAATGCGGTTCAAGTAGTTCTGAATCAGATTTGCCTCAATCCGATTCTGAAATGGCACTAATAAGTAGTGCAAGTGATTCTACAAATAGTAACAGTGAAACTGGAGGTGCCACAGTGACCTCAATGGAAGACAGTTAAGCTCTGTTGAAGTAGATGAGTGGATAACTACGGCATATCATACACAGTTCTGTGGGTGTGCTAAAATTAGTGTGTTAACAGTTTCCAGTGTCTGCGTTTTTTTCCTTAAGTTTAAACAAACAATGTAAGGGAAGTACATGCTATTGTGTACTGTCTTTACATTTTACAAGTATTCCAATAAAAATAATTTATTTCTACATAAAGCTTTTAATTTGTTTGAATATAACATTTAAACCACATTAAGTGTGCTGTAAAGTATTCCAATAAAAATAATTTATTTCTACATAAAGCTTTTAATTTGTTTGAATATAACATTTAAACCACATTAAGTGTGCTGTAAAGTATTCCAATAAAAATAATTTATTTCTACATAAAGCTTTTAATTTGTTTGAATATAACATTTAAACCACATTAAGTGTGCTGTAAAGTATTCCAATAAAAATAATTTATTTCTACATAAAGCTTTTAATTTGTTTGAATATAACATTTAAACCACATTAAGTGTGCTGTAAAGTATTCCAATAAAAATAATTTATTTCTACATAAAGCTTTTAATTTGTTTGAATATAACATTTAAACCACATTAAGTGTGCTGTAAAGTATTCCAATAAAAATAATTTATTTCTACATAAAGCTTTTAATTTGTTTGAATATAACATTTAAACCACATTAAGTGTGCTGTAAAGTATTCCAATAAAAATAATTTATTTCTACATAAAGCTTTTAATTTGTTTGAATATAACATTTAAACCACATTAAGTGTGCTGTATTTAATTTTTTTCCTAATAAAATATTTCAGTTCAAATACTTGTGGCTATCGGGACATAAAATTACCATGGGGGTACTTTTTAGTTGGGTATACTAAATATAAGTCAAATAAACATGCTAAATCAGGTCACGCTCTATTTAGGGCATTGGAAAATTTTCCGAAAAACCTACATCTCTGTGCCTAGGTGAACCCAAGCTTTTACATTCCTTAAGTTAAAGAGAACTGTTGAAGGTAGATCAGCAAAAGCCTTAACCAATAACAGATTTCAGGAAAACAAGGAAGTAGAGATTAGCTCAAAGGGCCTTTTTCTCTAGGAAAATGTTAAATCTGCCCCTGACAGGAAGACTAGTATATAATGAATGAAATATTTGTAATGTTGTAAGTATAATTTTCTGAAAATCAGGCTATTTGGAACAGAATTTCATAGTTAACATGAAGCAAGTTTAGACACCTGGCTGTATAAATTACAATTAAGCTCCTCTTTAAAGTCTTGTAATATAATTTAATGCATCAAGTGAAGGACTGAACTGTTTTTATCTTAGCCAGGAAAAGGAAGTTGAGGACCTCTTAATTTAGGTCCTCAACTGAATTAAGACGGATTGCTTTTAAACCATTAGGGTTATCATCTTAAGGAATTAGTGACAAATTTCACATTCATGTTGGACATGGAAAGATCACAAAACAAAAAAATACAATACTCGCCTAGGCAGAAGCTATCCTTGAATAGCTTTATTTACATTATACATATCTCTAATCAACAACTCAACTTGCACACAGGTCATGGTTTTATGCACCATGTGAATCATTTTTAAGCTTTACCTAGAAGAGATATCTAAATAGGCCAATATAATGCTATTATTTA